ACCACTATCATTGGCACCACTTGTGTGATAAAAACAACTATGACAGATACCGATTCCTTAGAATGTACCACCACTTGTACACTCACTACCCTGTAGAAACTACTACCTTAGGAACCGCTTCTGTAGAAAGTACTACCCCCTTCACCACTTCTGAAGAAACGACTACCCTTGGCACCACTTCTGTTAAAACTACACCTTCAGTTAGTTCAACGCAAGTAGTATTGGAAACATCCACATTTGAAATGAGACCTGCTGAAACAACAACCTCAGTTGTGTCTACACCTGGCATAGCATCTGCTGGTGGAAGCACAATGTATCAAGCTGCCACTTGGCACCACCACTGCAGACACCACTATCATTGGCACCACTTGTGTGATAAAAACAACTATGACAGATACCGATTCCTTAGAATGTACCACCACTTGTACACGCTCTACCCTGTAGAAACTACTCCTGCAGAAACTACTGCCCTTGGCACAACTCCTGAAAAAACTACTACTCTGGGCACCACTTTTAAAGAAACTACTACCCTTGGACCTGCTTCTATTAAAACTACACCGTCAGTTAGTTCAACGGGATTAGTATTGGAAACATCCACATTTGAAATGAGACCTGCTGAAACAACCTCAGTTGTGTCTACACCTGGCATAGCATCTGCTGGTGGAAGCACAACGTATCAAGCTGCCACTTGGCACCACCACTGCAGAAACCACTATCATTGGCACCACTTGTGTGATAAAAACAACTATGACAGATACCGATTCCTTAGAATGTACCACCACTTGTACACACTCTACCCTGTAGAAACTACTCCTGCAGAAACTACTGCCCTTGGCACAACTCCTGAAAAAACTACTACTCTGGGCACCACTTTTAAAGAAACTACTACCCTTGGACCTGCTTCTATTAAAACTACACCATCAGTTAGTTCAACGGGATTAGTATTGGAAACATCCACATTTGAAATGAGAACTGCTGAAACAACAACCTCAGTTGTGTCTACACCTGGCATAGCATCTGCTGTTGGAAGCACAACGTCTCAAACTGCCACTTGGCACCACCACTGCAGAAACCACTATCATTGGCACCACTTGTGTGATAAAAACAACTATGACCGATACCGATTCCTTAGAATGTACCACCACTTGTACACACACTACCATGTAGTATCTAATACCCTGGGCACAACTCCTGCAGAAACTACTACTCTGGGCACCACTTCTGTAGAAAGTACAGCTTCAGTTAGTTCAACAGGATTAGTATTGGAAATATCCACATTTGAAATGAGACCTGCTGAAACAACAACCTCAGTTGTGTCTACACCTGGCATAGCATCTGCTGTTGGAAGCACAACGTCTCAAACTGCCACTTGGCACCACCACTGCAGAAACCACTATCATTGGCACCACTTGTGTGATAAAAACAACTATGACCGATACCGATTCCTTAGAATGTACCACCACTTGTACACACACTACCCTGTAGAAACCACTTCTGAAAAAACTACTACCCTTGGCACTGCTTCTGTTGAAACTACACCTTCAGTTAGTTCAACGCAAGTATTATTGGAAACAGCCACATTTGAAATGAAACCTGCTGAAACATCAACCTCAGTTGTATCTACGCCTGGCATAACATCTGCTGTTAATGTCACCACATCTCAAACTGCCACTTGGCACCACCACTGCAGAAACCACTATCATTGGCACCACTTGTGTGATAAAAACAACTATGACAGATACCGATTCCTTAGAATGTACCACATCTTGTACACACACTACCCTGTAGAAACTACTACCCTGGGCACAACTCCTGCAGAAACTACTGCCCTTGGCACAACTCCTGAAGAAACTACTACCCTTGGACCTGCTTCTATTGAAACTACACCGTCAGTTAGTTCAACGGTATTAGTATTGGAAACATCCACATTTGAAATGAGAACTGCTGAAACAACAACCTCAGTTGTATCTACACCTTTTATAGCATCTGCTGTTGGAAGCACAACGTATCAAACTGCCACTTGGCACCACCACTGCAGAAACCACTATCATTTGCACCACTTGTGTGATAAAAACAACTATGACAGATACCGATTCCTTAGAATGTACCACGACTTGTACACACACTACCCTGTAGAAACTACTCCTGCAGAAACCACTTCTGTAGAAACTACTCTGGGCACCACTTCTACAGAAACTACTTACCCTACTACGTGATTCCTTGGAATGTACTACCACTTGTACACACTAGTACCTTTGCCACCCATTTTGCAGATAGCCCTACACTTGTCATCACTGTAGAAACATCAGCATTGGTTAATTCAATAGTAATAGTGTTGTAAACATCCACATATGTAATGACAACTGCTGGAACAACAATCTTTGCTATGTCTATGCCTGGCATATTATCTGCTTTTGAATCCATAGTGGCTGAAAGTAACACTTCTGCAGAAAGTGCTACCCTTGGCACAATTTTTGTGGAAAGTACTATTCTGGCCACCACTTCTGGAGAAAGTATTACCTTTTGACTCCACTTCTCCAGAAACTACTACCCTAGGCACCACTTTGACAGACACTGCAGAATTTCAGAACAACAGTAAGTACTGTACCATTTGTGTAGAACCAACAACTTGCGTTAATTCAATTTCGGAAACATCTGCATTTTTATTGACTTTAAAACAATAAGGCAAGAAGGAAACAGACCCACTACTACAGCTCAAACTTTGCCTACAGTGTGAACATAGCCTATTGTCAAATGTGGCCCCAACCTGTTTTTTTAATTTTTTTATTTCGTTCTCATGTGACTCTGATCTGTTTTTGTCATGACCGTGTGAACAGCACAAACCACATATAATCTTATCTTTTCAGTTCCGATTTGTGCCACTTCCGTATGTGGTACTAAATCCGATACAGGTCAGATGTTTTGCAGTGTGACCACAGTGTGAACTGTCATATTGGAATTCATGCTACTTTTACGTCACCCTAGATCAGGGGTAGGGAAGTTCGGTCCTAGAGAGCCGCAGTCCTGCAGAGTTCAGCTCCAACCCTAATCAAACACACCTGAACAAGCTAATCAATGTCTTCAGGATTACTAAGGCTATAGGCAGGTGAGTTTTGTTTTCAGGGTTGGAGCTGAACTCTGCAGGACTGTGGCTCTCTAGGACCGAACTTGCCTACCCCTGCCCTAGATCAACATTCGTCACTTATTCTGCACTCATGGGAGTCACTTCAAAGATTTTACTTACCAAAAGTTATCAAGACCGTTGTGAAAGGTAGTCAATGGAATTACAGTGATGTGTCAGAACTCACTGGTGTTGAATCTTAGGCTACGTTCACACTAACGGCACATGCAGAAGCCACAACCTTGGTTGTAAAACCTCTAAATGTGTGAACAGTTGCATCTACCCCTTGCAAGCAGTTAATGATATTTAATCAATCTCTTTTTCTCTCTCACTATATATACACACACACACACACACACACACACACACACACACGCATGTTTTGTCAGATTACAAACAAGCTTTATCGGTGTGTTGGTAGATTAGCTGCAACTAATTAGCATTGGCTCTGCTTGTTTGTAACCTTGTGCTAGTACTCACTGCTCTTGTTAGGTTGCGTTGGTCATTATGTAAATGAGATGTGTCTGTTTAATTTGCTTTATATCCGTACATCACCCACAACTTTCCACTCCCATCAGTGATTTTTCTGAATTGTGCTCACTAATTTACCTTTAGTTAATCTGGCCCTTAAAATTCTTAGGTCAACATAAGTGATGAAATATCCACAAGAAATATAGAGAAATTATCAATTTTATTGCATCTGTCCATTTTCAGTGAACATATATTTATTTTGTCTTGTTCCTTCAGGTGAATAATCTTTACTGCCGTTTACCTTGTGGCAACAATGGAGGTTACAGATTTAAAGATGTATGGTGTATGAATGACCTGTATGACTCTTTTAGGTAAGTATTTCAGAAGCATATCAAATGTCCAGATTTTAATTTATTTTAAAAGCTTAACAGTTCACATTGCTTACTGACTAACGTTGCACCGTTTACATTTGGCTAAGACTGTTCATTTCTTTTTAGTAGTATGGGATTTGTTTTCCTTTTTTGCAGGCTACATTTACTAAACAATTTTGCTGTTCTTAAAGGTATAATTCCCTTTGTACAAAATGACATAAGAAATCCATCTGAACCAAGTGGTTTACTCAAATCTTTTCATCATAGCATTTGTCTCTACAGAAAAATGTATTTACATATGTACTGCTCTGTCAATCTATATAATACATGGAGCACATCAAATACGGTAAACGGAAGCTCAAATATGCTTGTGATGCACAAGGAACAGGATGTTCATTCATCTACGTTTCTTTACATAGACTTTCAGTTGAAGGGCAAAAAAAATAATTATTTTCATTTGTGTTCTGAAGACTTGATTTGGAAAGACATGAGTGAGCAAATGACGGTTTTCATTTTTGGGTGAACTAACCCTAATGAGTTGTATTCCTTTCATATTATGAAGTATGTTCATCAGCATAACTTTTATTAAATTAATTGTTCATGTTTTGCAGTTGTATCTGTGGAACAAGCATACCATTGATCATGCCACTTCTAACAAGATATACAAAATGAGCAGATGATGGGCAATGAAATTAAGACAAGGTCTTGTGGTATTCCCTAAAGACTGCTACTCTGCTACAGATACTGATCTCTGCGCTCCTGCTTAAATATGATTTACATTTATATTCCTATTTTATTAAGGATCTGAGGTTTTCGTTTGACAAAATATATATTAAAATAATATTTGCTGTAATTGATTTTTGAAAATGTGTTTTATGGTTTGTGTAATGTAAATGTCACTGTCAAATGAATAAAAGAATTTCACTGAGGCCATCATGAAACATTGTTTATTAGGTACTATATACTCAAAGCAATTAAAAACTAAACTTCTACCATTGAAATCAGCCAAACTGCCTGCACTGTAGAGCAGTGAGATGTTGGTGTTTGCAGTTTTGACCGCTTTCTTGATTATGGTGGGCTTGATTGCGTGCTCTGCAACACTTATTTGTTGTGTATATTTGGTATAATACATGGACTGTAGCATAAGTTTTGGTGTAAATGTTCAAATGATTTTGCTAGTAAGAAAGGTTCTCTCTGTCATTGATTTATACACTTTGGCTCATTGATGTGTAATTGTGTTTGTCATATGGTGTGGTTTCAACAAAAACTTAATCATTTACTAGTTTTTAATGAGGCTATTGCAAGATGTTGACCGCATTATCATTAAGTTGATGAAACAAATGGAAAAGACATACAATTATTGCATATGAGTTGGGATACTTAGTAAAATGGCTGTCGAATCCATATTTTTTCCGGAAATCATATCTCTCTCTATTGAGTTGGAGCTGTGGGACAGAAGTGTGTTGCCCATTACATAGGACCGATACATAAAACCAGGCCAGACTCGGGTCCCCACAAGCACAATAACTACTCTTTCTCCCTATGCTTTAGAGGTGCTGGTACTCCACTAGGGCTGCATGATGTATTGAAATGATCAAAATAACGCAGATGTACATTGCGATGGCATGCGATATCTGAATTATTTAAATAATAGGCTACTTAATGTCAAGCAAGTAACTTTTTGCAACATTAAGTGTTAAGTGCAATAAGTTGCAAAAAACAACTCGTTGCGGTCTCGTGCCGTCTGTCTGACAAATACCTGAAGCGTGTGCACAAGCAGTAGTAAATGCTGCTCCATTAGAAAGCACGGAAAGTTTTGTCACTTATAACATGCATTTGAAAAAGCAACAGGTGTCAAACATCTTTCAAACATGAAGCATTTATGAACCTCTTGTCCAACAAAAGTCAACGTTTAATGTTTTTGCTCCAAACTCACTTCATTACAGTCGAGTGTTTAAAATCCTTCTGTGAGATGATGTGACTTACACAAAATAAGGCATGCAACACATTTCAAAGTACTCTATGCCGTGATAAAGGCTATGTTGATTAGTATTGCATTATAAATATACTTCATTATAATGAAAATGTATAATTAGAACCGAGATAAACCATATGTTGTCATAGTCGTATGTTTATTAGTCACGTTAAATCAGTGAAAGCAGTTCAATCTTTTGTTTATTCAGCTGCAGCAATAGGGTATATGTTGAATGTCACCTGACCAAACCCAGAAAACAGTTCTCATCTCTTCCACTTGTCAGAGAACGTGTTAAAAGTCAATAGACATCGCTATTATTTAATACGGCTGTTAAGATAATCAGTTAAACTAGCTAGCTATTTTTATTGTTTTATTTATATCTAAATGTTAGTGAAAAGAAGAAAAAACTTTTAGATATCAGTCCGCATAGGTGATGGACATTGGTTATGATCATCATTGGTATCTACTTTGACGGCATCTTGAGTAAAACTGCTTCATATTTAAGTATATGCAAAACACTTGAACCGGAAGCGACGAGAACTGGTTAAACGGAATACGGAAGTCTGTTGTGCATAACCCCTATAGGGATTTCCTGGAACGACGTGCATTTCCTTTCTTCTGTGGAACGGAGTTGGAGTTTCAGCACGAGAGAACCCTCTGGCCTTCAGACGTAGCAGTATTTACTACTAATCACAGAACCGTGCTTCACTGACAAGCTGCACATGTAAAAAAAAATCACAGCCTTTGCCAAATCACGATTGCAGTTTAATAATCATGCAGCCCAAGTCTTAAGAGAATGTGAACAGTTTGGAAAGAAATAGGATTTGGAGCAATAGGATCCCAGCAGCCTAATACGGTAAACCTGCAGCTGTCTGTCAAACAACAAAAGAAAAAGAGAAAATCACTCACTGCTCTTGACTGACTAACCTTAGTAGCTTTATTATGAATCAATGTATATTAATTCATGTGAAGACTATGCAGTGTTTTAGTTTTACATTTGATTATTCAGTTTCTATATTGTTTCTTGAATGCTACTGTTAAATATATCTAATGTAAGCCTGACTGAAAGTTAAAGCACTGTTTATTTCATTTGAATCTTTGTTTCTTAGTTTTTTTTATTTATGACTGCTTTTTATGCAATGCTAAAATACTGCTGATCACTTTCAGAAGTTGTAGTGATGCTTTCTTTTCCAAGAAAGAATGTGAAACATATACATTGGTTATATCGTTTTTAGTTTAAATATTTTTAAATATCATTTAAATTGATTTCACACACTTAAAGCAATATCGTATCGCATATCCAATGCCACATTTTTCTTCAATATCGCACAGCACTATTCTCCACTGTAAATTAAATACACAGATCAGAAAAGTCACCTATAGGACAGTCATTAACTCATTACAACTTTGCATGTTACACAGCGCTGATATGCGTGCAATGATGAATGCTGCATTTTCCTGGTGCCATTTGTTTTATTTGTGCCTTGTGATTAAAGGTGTCCATAATGTTAAATATGATTAAATATCATTAGGGCCCGAGCACCGTGGTGCAAGGACACTCTTGGAATCGCTCCTTTTATTAGGACCCGAGCACCGTGGTCTGAGGAACCTCTTGGAATTGCTCCATTTATTGTTGGGGCCCAAGCCCTAGGGGGCACAGGGCCCTATTGCTCCCCTAAGGTTTAGGGCCCAAGCCCTGAAAGGGTGAAGTCTCTTGAAGCAAAATTCGAAACTCAACATGAAGTCGGTTATTTTACATTTTCTCAGCAAATTGTGTGTTGTTTTTGCCATTTTCAGGCATTGTATTTTAAAAACTTCTAGAGATTTAATCAGATCAACACCAAATTTGGTCAGTGTAATCTAAAGCCGTTGATGTTGAATTTGAGATGATCTTGATTTTTCATTGAAGGGTATGTCCGTGGAGGTCTGACAAATTTCGATGTTTCACCATGAAACAGGAAGTTGTTATAACTCAGGCATACAATGTCTGATCTGCCCCAAACTTCACACATTTGATAGGAGTCATGTCCTGAACACATGCCCATGCCCATATTCAGTTAGTGTCAGACTTATAAAATAAGTCAGTTATAGCACCATCCGCTGGCAACAGGACGTGACATGTTTTACTCTGTAACAAACTCCTAGAGATTTAATAACATCAACACTATATTTGGTCAGTCTAATCTAAAGGCCTTTTGCAATGTTAAATTGCGAAGATCTTGAGTTTTCATTAAAGGGTGTGTCTGTGGCGGCCTGACAGATTTCGGTGTTCAATTTTCGATGTGGCCTGAAGACTTCTACATCTCAATATTCAGCAGTAATCACAGCACCACCAGCTGGCAGCAGGAAGTTCGGAACAATGAATGGTGGGCGATGTGCATTTGTAAGGACACCGGGTGGAGGTGGTTCCAGGTGCAAGGGCCCTTTCAACGCTGCTTGTAGCTTTAAGTGTTGTATTTATTCTATTTTGAACATACTTGAGGTGTACTTACTGTTGAACTAGTCTGTGGACTTTAATGTGCCATTTCACTTTTGTCAGCTAATGCAATGTAAAGCATTGTGATTTTAACATTAAACACTGACTGAAGTCTAATAGGCTTCTTCTATGAGTCACTGTCGCTACCCTTTTTTTATGGGTAGATTAAATTAAGCGGAACACTGGTACGATCCTAGAGTTCAGACAGGATTCACATCATAAGACTGACAAGATAAGGAAAATGATTCCACACTGAAATTAACTGCCTACAGTGAAATTAATCATACTCACAATTTTATTTTGGTACTAAACCGACAAATTGATCTTAAGGTATTCAGTGGTGTACCGCACATCTGTGAGGCCCCCTTCAAAACACTTGCTAAAACACATATCTTGAAACCATCACTCATTTTCTCAAAACCTTGCACAAATCCAAACCTTCAAACTAAATTCACAGAACCTCTGACTCTTCTGGCAAAATCAAACAATCACTTCAAAACATTTCATCTGTACTCAAAATCAAACAAAGGTTTCAAATCATACACACATTAGTCAATAATATTCACACTACAGATCATTCATTAGACACTACATCAAAAAATGGAGGACACCGTTTTTTTTGTAACTACATGCACTGGACACAGTTTATTGTATATAGTAAACATTTTGCAATAAACACACACACACAAACATACAAAAGAAATCACACCTAAGTTTGGTGAATATATGTGTGTGTGTATATATATATATATATATATATATACACACCTTTATCTATACCAAATAAATATAGAATACAGCAAATAAATAATCTCAAACCTACCCCATCTGAGGGATGTCCCCTTAAAATATCATTTAAAACCACACTGTGTATTGTAAATAATATAATGATATATACTTACAATGCATTTTATTTTGCCCCGTTTGCATTTGTACTGTATTGTTTTAATACTTTTATTTCACAATTATTTTTAAATTTAGAAACATTTTGTAGTGTGCTAAGAGACAACGTTATCGGGAAAAGCACCCTTGATCACTTTCAATTTCGACAACGATCTTTCAGCAGTTGCAACCGTTACAGGTAAAGTTAGAAATAACTTGAGAGCTGTTACAATATTGGGGACACTGAGCAGGACAGAGAGGTGTTTAAAAGATAACAGCTGTGCAAGATCTGCAGTGGAGCCACACTCAATCTCCTGTATTTTGGACATCATGGCATTTCTGAACGATGCAAAATCTGGGGACAAATCGTCAGTGTACTGAACTGCTAGAGCATTTGCCATTTGAAATAGGTTGTTGTCAAAGAAGCACAGCAGCGGATCAGGGCATAAAAACATAGTTTGCATCATCAAGGTGTAGCTGTATTGAATTTGGTATTTTAATGTGTTAATGCAATAAGCCACGTTAAGCATAATGATAATCTAAAAATGTGCTTCATGTGGTAATATCTAAATGAATTAATTTTATTTTAAAAAACGTTAAATTAATTGACATTATAAATAGGTTACACCAACAAAACTCAATTTAAGGGTAAGAACAGGAAAAAAAAGTTTTCTGGGGCCCACCACAGGGGTGGGGGTCCCATATGCCACTGAAGGTATTGACTATGACTGGAGCCATATTATTGACCATTTTCACACAATATCTCTGTAAATCTTATCTCCATTTATATAGGCCTGAACCACATCCCTTTTGCATGTTACCTAACTTAAGTGGCATACGATTCTAGAAAACTCTTAGAATGTGTCGTCAAAGCATACACTGCATTATTATGACATCTAGTGGTTATTCACGGTACTTCAACCGCATCCAGTTGTAAAATATTTCGAGGTATGAATATGATATATAAGTTGCATCGGCCATTTCACTTGCTACATTCTGAAATTATTTTTATTATACATTGATTCTAATTATACTGAGAATCTGAGGTCTATTTTTTTTTTTGTCCTCAATAATATACTAGCTAATTACACCACTTAAAAAGCCGGCATCCATACTCAAAACCTACTTGGCATGTTATAAGCAGGTGCTCAGGGAAGTGACCTCCAGATATAAAGAAACGCCTGATGGACAGGGAAGTCCAGCTCAAGACAAACCCTTTTCCCAGCTCTGGGAAAATCAATTGACAGATGTTTCTCTGGGCTCATGTCCAGAGGAGACTGAGAAAGAGAGAGAGAGATTATTAGATGTTCTCAGAGTTCTTTGGTGAGTACAATTGTCTCTTGAGATTTCTCAGTACAAGTCTCATGACTGCTATGAGAAAAGAAGCAAATCATTTTTGGGGCCACTATCATTTTCACTTTGGCCAGTCAATACGTATTTAGACACTACCTAAGCCACTTAAAGATCCATGAATCTGCAAAGAAATGGCAGGACCCACTGGAGCTTTTCTCCAAATTACCTTCACTTTCCAAACCATTTTTACGAAGAACCAGCTAATGTCAGTGATTTTAGTGGATGCATGAAGTTCGTTCACACAGGTGTTGTTTTGTCTGGTTTTTTATTTTTTTATTTGACTTTTGCTGTCCTCACTCACAGTGAATGGCGCTTTGTTTCATGTTTTTATAATGCAATTCCTTCGTACGTTTTGAAGAGTAGGCGTAGTGTCCGATTACTGGTACCATCCACAGTAAACAATACGCTTTCGATTTTCCCTCGAATAGACGCGTTATTATATTTGATTGAGCGCGGTGACTTATGAAAGGTTATTAAGAAACCAGTTTATTCTCCCAGGCCAGGGGTGCCCAAACTCGGTCCTGGAAGGGCCGGTGTCCTGCAGAGTTTAGCTCCAACTTGCCTCAACACACCTGCCTTTAAGTTTCTACACTCTTAAAAATAAAGGTGCTTCACGATGCCATAGAAGAACCTTTTTGTCTAAATGGTTCCATAAAGGACCTTTAACATCTGAAGAACCTTTCTGTTTCACAAAAGGTTCTTTGTGGCGAAAGAAGGTTCTTCAGATTATAAAAAGATAAGAAAGAGATGGTTCTTTAGAGAACCTATGACTGAATGGTTCTTTGTGGAACCAAAAATGGTTCTTCTATGGCATCGCTTGAAGAACCTTTTGAAGCACCTTTATTTTTAAGAATGTAGTATGCCTATAAGAGCTTGATTAGCTGGTTCAGGTGTGTTTAATTGGGGTTGGAGCTAAACTCTGCAGGACACCAGCCCTCCAGGACCGAGTTTGGGCAGCCCTGGCCCAGGCAGAGGAATCTCTGTCGTGTCTCTCTAGCGCCTCCTCTCTTGATCAGGCCGCGATAGAAACGGCAGGTCTCTTCGTGCGCTCCGCTCAGTGAGCGACTGCAGCTGGAGGAGAGACAATAACAGCGACGCGTGCACAGGTACGTAAAGCCTGTCAAAGCTGCCTTTAAATGCGATTTATTCATGTGTCCGCTGGTTTTTGTGCACTATATTCGAAGGTGATTTGTATCAAACATGAAACATGCGTGCCCTAGTTGTAAATTTTAATAGGCGCTGCATTTCATGTTGTTAAATCGGGCCTGCGCTGCTTACGTATTAATAAACTAATGCCCTGTATATAGAATATGCTCGAATACGGACTCGCTTATTGGGAGACAAAAAAAGCTAGGTCTCATATGAAAAATACGTTTCAAGATTATTCAAAATTAACCAGGCATACATGTAACGGTATTTATGGGAGTTTTCGCCAAATACCCACATTTTAACGTGCATACTTTATTCCTGTATGTTTCCTTTATTTCTTATCAGTTGAACGCAAACTGCGAGAGCTGTTGCGTTCAATGTGTCATTTTAATACCAGCTAAAAAAAAAAATCCTGCTGCACTGACTGCGATGCCCTATGGAATTCGATTAATGCGATTAATTCCATATAAAAATGAATAATGTATCTCAAAAATCTGAATATGTCTGTGAGTTCAAGCTCATTGTAAATCGATTTTGCTTGAAGGATGCTTTGTTGGAACGCGCCTCCTCCCTCCACCTCTGCAGAACAGAGATGCGGCCATGATTCCGGCTCTTCATGTCGTCTGTGTTCACGGGTGCTCACTGTGTCTCTGTGTCTGACATCACGCTTGTGGCGGAATCCTGTAGAAATTATCGACGGCTCATTTTTATTACAAGTCGTGGTTGCGCTTCATCGCTGACCGAATGCTGATTCGGTGTTCTAATAATGGCATGCAACGCCTTTCTTCAGCGACAGTGTAGTTGTCTAATCATGGGGATGCGTAATTGTATTTAGTAACCTGCATTATTCTTCATATGTTCACCGCGCTTCGCATATGCGGTCGTTTTGGCAGCGGAACGTTCAGTATATTATCACTGTGTTACATTGCATCCCAGTGGACTGTGATCCGATTTAAAATGGGGCTTGAGTTGAGGATTTTTTGAATTGCCTGCAAACGCTTCTCTGGTTGAGCTACTGGGTTGCCTCGCCTTTTTTCTCGTTAATTACAGTTGACGTTTTCTATCGATTAGGCTACGTGAATTTGTGCTATGAGACTGTATTGATGTGACTGATTCTGGATTACAGACTAGATCCAAGTAACCACACTTTTAAAAAATTACAGTGAATTTAACGGTAAAAGACTGTAAAAATGCTACTGTAAAAACCTGTTAAATTGGTAACGGTAAATTCCCCTACTAAATACGGTGAAAAACTGTATTGGACATTACATGTATTGGACATTAATTTTACTGTAGTATACCATTTTTGTAAGTGAAAAAGACCATATAATTTACAGTGAATAACCGTAAATTGACATTCCCAGAATTCCCTGCATTACATTTCAAATTTGATGCTTTTTTTGTTGAAATATTTTTGTTGTTTCTTCTTATCCGTTTTGTATATTAGGGTTGTGTGTTACACCTAATGTTGTTAAATGAATGTTTATTGCATTATTTCAGTTTCATGTGTGTTACCGTGATGGTGTTTAGTGTTTGTGTGAATGACGCTGTGCACCTTCTATATACGTTATTACTTAAAAACTGCTTGTGATGGGCTTTGGTTCATCGTGTGACTTTCTCATCACCTCCTGCATTTGGTGGTTATCAGTGTATTACAAAGCTACAAAACAGATTTCAGTACTTCAATAGGTTGGTATAGTAACATTATATCAGTTAATGAAATTACGGTATTTAACTGTAAATTTAAGTTAAAACCGTAAAACCTAAAACGTTGCTACTGTATTTTTTACGGTAAAATTCTGGCAACCACAGCTGCCGGTTTTTTACCGTAAATTTTACATAATTTTTTTTACAGTGCAGACATGCCCTCTGAAAATATCCTGTAAAGAGCCCTGTAGGGTGTCTCCAGAGGCATATGCACATATTCTATTCTAGTATATTCTATTCTATTCTTAATTTTGTTATTTTAATAAACCAAGGAAATTTCCAACTGACACTCTAAAATTGTCAAATCTAATTCATAAAGTGTTAAGTTAATTCAACCAACCAATTGGGGGTATTTCCAAACCATTGTTAATAATGGCAGAAGCCATTACTACAGAATATGTAGAATCATAAACACTGCAAACCAGTGAATCAAAAAAATTAAATTTACTTGTATAATTAGATGTGTTTTTTTTAATAATTAAAAATAAATAAATAATATATATAGGTTATTTCTGTCCTTATCACATTGCAATAGACATGTTTGCACAAATAGCACAGACAGCAATCATTGCAAACAACAACAACAACAAAAGATAAACTGTTTAGCTGGAGCATTATAAATATTAGCAATGTGAGCTTATTATTTTCAGTGGTCACTAAGCTGCACGAAAACATCTGAGCAATTTTTTGTGGTTTAGTGATATGGGCAGGCATACAAAGACCATAAAATCTCTGACATAATGCCATATGAAGTCTCTCATGTGTTTAATTGGCATGGTACTGACAGAGGGGTTTAGTTTACTGCAACACCAGTCTCCTCAGACTAACTCGCATGAGAGGGTGTGATTGGGATTTCTGCCACAGACATAGTGGTTTGTGTAGTTTGAGGTGAATTTGCAGCTGTAGAGACTTAGGCCATTAGCTCTCTGACAGAAGCGTGATGAGCAGAATTCCAGAATTCCATGTCTACATGCATCCACATGGTCCTTTGCCCTGAGAACTTAAGCATGACTGTTCTGGCACGAAAACATCTGAGCAATTTTTTTTGTGGTTTAGTGATATGGGCAGGCATACAAAGACCATAAAATCTCTGACATAATGCCATATGAAGTCTCTCATGTGTTTAATTGGCATGGTACTGACAGAGGGGTTTAGTTTACTGCAACACCAGTCTCCTCAGACTAACTCACATGAGAGGGTGTGATTGGGATTTCTGCCACAGACATAGTGGTTTGTGTAGTTTGAGGTGAATTTGCAGCTGTAGAGACTTAGGCCATTAGCTCTCTGACAGAAGCGTGATGAGCAGAATTCCAGAATTCCATGTCTACATGCATCCACATGGTCCTTTGCCCTGAGAACTTAAGCATGACTGTTCTGGAATGCTGTTAGCCATGATCTGAAGCATATGTAATGTGGGATACAAAAGTTTGAGACTACCAAAATAGAAGATAGAAACATTTTTATTAGTAATTTAATGATCACAAATAATTACAAATTATATAGTCATAAGTATATAGATGAATTGAAAAATGAATAGTGATTTCAGAATTCAGTATTTGGTTTGTCCTCTTTTTACTTTAATGAAAGCAGCACTGAAGCTGCATGAATTCCACAAGTTGGTGTAAAACCTGATGATCCATCTTATACTGTGTCACAAGATCATTTTGTAAGCTGAATATTTCTTGTTTTACATAATTATTTGTATAGTGCTGTTCACAATACACATTATTATTTTAAAGCAGCATGATATTAATGTTTATAATATCATAATTTATTCATGCCTTATAGTCACATTTTGCAAATTAGAGCTGGCCTATAATATAATTTACACATTGCATTGATACAAGCAATTGAGATTTGCTATCTCTTAGTATATAATATCTATCACTTTATATATACTATATATCCAACTTTATTTATAAAAATAATAAAAAAAATAATCCTCTGTTATATAAAAGTTCCAGACTTTTATACCACTGTTTATAAATATGTATATGGATGTATGGAGATATATATTTATATGGCTATTACATATTTCCGCATAATAAAGTATTACATGATGAGGATTGGCTGCAATAATAAAAGATTTTTAACATACAGTACATCATTTTCTAAAATGAATATTTGTTTTTCCACCACAGCACAGTGGAATCATTCTACACCCAGTTCATAAGGGAGTTACTCATCATAAGAATCATTTCACATAGTGGGATAATAGAAGTTGCTTATGTCATCACAGCACTCAGAATACATTTTGTGGCATCAGGTTTACAGTCTGTATTCTTGACATCTAATCCAGCATCATGGTCTACATAGACTGCAATTATGATCTGGTGCATTTCATATTTAAGTCGTTGTGAAGCAGCCTGTTATGGGACTGTTTAAATTGGAACATAACTGGCCCTGCCCGAAAGGAGGTGGGGATCGAGAGGAGAGCGAAAACATTAGAGAGGAGTAACTTCATAGTGATGCGGAGCAAATTTAGGTCAGGGATACGAGGGTAGTCAACCGTGATGAGAGCATCACAGACATTCAGCTGTTCTAAAGCACAAGCCCAGTGTGTGCCAATGGAGAGCGGCATTTTTCAGTTTGGTGCCAGATAAACAAGCAAATAACACCTAAGAAGATATATTCAGACTTTTCCTGGTACCATCCATGGATTTATCTTCTAATTCCAACCAAGCCGTTTTTGACATAGTCTGATTACATTATGCCTGGTTACATAACAGATAATACCTGTTGGTATGCACACACATAATTTTTTTAAATTAGAAGTTATGTAGGTTGTCTGCCTACTGGGCCTCAGTGCAGGCCCGTAACCACCATTGACAATAATTAGAAATGACCAACTTATCCTCCGCAATATATGATATAATATGCGATGCTGCTCTGTTTATTGTTGGGAAGGGATGACAAAATATTTTAGGATTTTTAGACAAAACAGCGCTCGTCAATGTCAAAATAATCAAGATGACCAGTCAAATCAAAGAAGGCTGTTCACGTCCTGAACATGAATTCAATGTTCTAGTTTGCTTCAGTTTTTAAAAATGTGAGGTAAGATGTAATTAGCCCAACATTTAATATTTGACTACTGTTTTATGACAGAAGTGTGAAATGACTGAGAGTAATATCCAGTGATGTTTGTCATCCAATGGTGTCACCGTTTTGAATAGAATATATAGGCATGTATTTTATAACTGTATGTGATGAGACAAGAAATATTTTTGAACATATTAGGCATGCAAATAAGAGTGCGTTTGTGCGTATTTTTAAATAAAAATATTATTTGCTGATAGTTCAAATTGATTAATTTACAAAAACAAAATCCTGTTTTATTAACGGTTTAAATACTTTTTATTCTCTTATTTCTTTATTCCCTTAAATCCATTTAAATTATTTAATTATTTAGATCCTTTATATGCAAGAACCCAAAATGGTTACAGCCTTGCCTCAGTGTATCATTGTATGTATATCTTTGCAATATACAAGACTGAAAGATTGAATCACTATTTTCGATGTTGACTAGATTGATTGGTGTTAGAAGCACAGTTTAAAGGTGGGGTAAGCGATTTTTCAAAAACACTTTAGAAAACCGATTCGGGCCGAATAGCAAAACAAAATTGTTGCCAATCAGCAGTAAGGGGCGTAACTACTCATGATGTGGAGGAGAGAGAGTTCAGTGCACGGGACGGACATTAGCCGAGCCGAGCGACAGAAAGATAGAGATGGCAGATAAAAAACAAAAGAGGAAAATGTCCGCGGAACAAAAGAAGTCTTAAGGCAAAAAGTAGGACCCGTGTAAATATCGGATCAGCTTTCCAGCACTGGAGAGAACTCAAGGAGCGGAGGCCTGCGATCGGATGCTGAGGTTGCTTTGTTTCTTCTCGATAGGTGAATAACACCGTGGCTGCGCCGCAACAGCTAAAGTCTGTCTAGTACACTGGACGCGACAAAGCGACCGTTGAAAATCATTTGAAATTTGTGTCAATACGTCATGAATGGAACGCAGCAGCAGTTTTGCTTTGTTTCACAGAACTAATCATTGCCTGGGTTGCATACATATGTGTGGGGTGGAGCTATCAAAATAGGGGCGAGACCCTTTTGGGATAGGGGCGTGTTTGTTTTGGTGATTTCAAATGTCAACATTGGCTACCAGAAATCACTTACCCCACCTTTAAATGTCCTGCAAAATGACAAGTACCACACACGCTGACAAGAACAGCTTAAAAATTCCAGAAGTTTGTTGACATCCTGTCAGTGTAACAGTGGGAGCTTTGTTTCGTGAGACGTCTTGACGCTCCATGAGAAGAATCAAATGCTCCCACGTCTATCAGTTTCACAGCATTTAATGAAAGGGGAAGTGTGTTTACAAGGAAGCATTCATCTGCATCTATTAGTAGAAGCTGAAGTTCAAACCAGACTATTGAGATGACTCAGAGTGCAGTGTATATTTTTCATGTATAGTAGAAAGAAGCAAATATTTTTGATTTTATGTGAGACCAGGTCTATATATTCAGAATGACTTACTAACATACTACTATGTACTCTATACTCTGCACAGCATGCAAAATTTCTGAATGCATGTAATGCAGGCCTGCCACCATGAGCAGCATATAACAGAGCACATTGCATGGTAAACTGTATCCCACAATGCAATGCACCTGACACTATTATCAGCCAACATAATATTTCATCAGACTAATAAATGTTGAGTTAAAAATTAAGACACTTTACACAAAACTGAATTAAATAAAATGTAATAGATAACAAAATAACACCTTTTATTTCTATAATGATAACTGGTCACCATTCACATGCAATTTGATCATGTCATGTGACATCAATTCAGCCTAATACTCTTTGAAATGTTTAATGTGGATTAACGAATTTTGTTTCATTTACTATTTAAAAAAAATAGTACACAGTATACAGTGTAAACTGCAATATTCAGAAATAATAAGTTAGTATTCCATTACCCATTGCTTCTTTTTAAAATGAAGAAACCTTAACTATTGCCACATGTTGTCCGTTAGAAACTCAAAGGCAATAAAGAAGGAAAGACAACCGCGATCTGATCTTGTGTCCAGGCAACTATCCATGTTAACCCTCACCTCGCCTTAAAAAAAGAGATTAGTTTGAATTCTTGTGTTCAGTTAACGACACATATGATGGCTTTATGTGTGTACTGTGGTGAATATGTCTTTGCATAGTATCCCAGGTGCTGTGCAAACATCTATGTTGATCTTGTGCTTTCTCTAGCTGCACACACCCTCGCAATAGCTCTGTTTATGTGGCTTTGCGGAAGGGCCATGAGCCACGCCAAGTTCATCATTCTTGTTCCTTGAACACACACACAGACATCCACATACTTTAGAGCACCAACTGTGCAAGTTTTTATGCTTTAACACTCAAAATGCGGCACCACCGCCACACAAAATACAACAGATGTTACTGCCTGGTTAGATGGTGCTCTTCAAATGCCCTTGGAGGCATGTGGTGTTATGGTCCATACTAGGTGGAGTCAGGACATGTTTAAAGGGTCTTTTAACTCAAAACTCATTGGATATACAGTGGGGTCTAAAAGTAATGTTGAACATCAGGGATTCAAAATGTACATTTGGAAAGTTATGGCATAAATAATAAAGAGATTCTGCACTATTTAGGTCACTAATCAAATGAGCAAATGTGTACAAAGGAGTTCACATGATCGATGTGACTGATGGTCAGATGTTCTTGCTTCCATTGTAGAACAAGTTGTTCTTTGGACCATTCTCAAATTATATGGGATAACATGATCACAAATCATGATTTGCTGCTGTAAATAAAGCAAAGGGGTGACATACCAAATGCTAAGATGTTCTGAAATGTAAATCATGTCAATTCAACTTTTCACTACAGTTGTGATGATCATAATGTAAATTGTAAAAAAAATAAAAAAGGAAAAAATTCCATTCTAGAATAAATTAGAAAAAGGCAGAAGTCTTTTGCATCCCACTATAATAGTCTTTTTTGTTTTACCCTATAATTTATTTGCTCTATTTGAAGATATACTGTATATTAGGTAAACAGTAACACATGTTGAACAGTCATTACATTCCCTGTGTACAAAAAAACTTTGAGGAAAGGTAAGAGAGCAAAGATCCTGAATCCTTGTGCAAACACTGTGTTCCAGACAGCTTGTGTGCCAGATGAGATGCACATAAAGCAGGTGAAATTTTTCCCACTGTTCAATGCAATGACACTTTTAAACCTCAGATGATGAAACTAAATAATGCATGAAACTTTTTCTGTGACTGTACATAGATAGTTCACCCAAAAATGAAAGTTCTGCCATCATTTACTCAACCTTATCATGTTGTTCAAAATCTCAGGTTATATTATATTATAGTTTAATAAGGGTTAGTAATGTGAAAAGCTCTTTAGTTGGCTTTACCTTGATTCATCACCCAAACAATTCTGAATGGGTGTAAATCTTAGAGAGAGAGAAAAAAGCTATAAAAAGCTGTTTATAGTTGTCTTGATGTCTGGAGGGCTGGGCTGTGAAATACAAAAATTGTAAATGTTTTATTTAATGTTAATTTCATGTAACTATATATATATATATGGATGGATGGATGGGTAGGTAGATACACACACAATAAATAAAAAGCTTTTGTAACAATATCGTTTGAGTTTGGGATCAGTACATTGTTTTTCCTTTTTCTTCTTTTTTTTTTTTTTGGAAGAAATTAATACATTTATTCAGCAAGGATATGTTAAATTAAAATTGTTTTAACAAAAACAAGTGATAGTAAAGACTTACATTGTTACAAAAGATTTCTGTTTTAAATAAATGCTGTGCTTTTTAACTTTTTATCCATCAAAGAATCTTGAAAAAATATCACAGGTTCCAAAAAATAAAAAATTAAGCAGCACAACTGTTTCCAACATTAATAATAAATCAGCATATTAGAATGATTTCTGAAGGATCATGTGACACAGAAGACTGCAGTAATAGCTGATGAAAATTCAGCTTTGCATCACAGGAATAAATTATATTTTAAAGTATATTAAAATAGAAAACCGTCATTTTAAATCTTTAAATAAATGCAGACTTGATAAGCATAAGGGACTTCTTTTAAAAAACATGAAAAACTTTACTGATGTGTGTGTTGAAAATCATTACACTCCCATTGCACTAGAAAGAAAATGAAAAAGCACACCGTTTCTGAGTGCTACAAGCACACACGTCAGAATGAGCTGTCGGGATGTCTGCAGGGCTGGGTGCTGTCTGTGTAACAAGTGTGTGTTTGTATATGTAGGTTGAATAGTGCATCAGGATGGCTGTGAAATATCCAACATGTATAATCTGCTTTGGGCTGGGTAGCTGACTAAATATCCTAATAACTAAGTACCTCTAATAGGATGGATTTTCAACATTAGCGATTATTATAGTATTACTAACTATGTAGTCATTAGCAAATATTTGGACACTTCGTAGCTCTGGAGCGGGAGTGTCCCATGTAAAAACAACAATAGCAGTCAGTGGAAAAAAAGGGGTGTTTTCTGTGATTTGACAATTAGAAAAAGAACATACCAAAGCAGTTTTGCAAGTGCACTGTTACGCTGTGCGATACAATGGTTTAAATAAAGTGGCTACAGAAAGGCTTGCAGGAGGTGCATAGAAACACATTGGCTTGACTGCGCTATTTTAGGCCACATAGCAGTAACCTTAAGCTAGACCGGCATGTTTGGCAGTATAAATATCCAGGTTCACACCGGCACTCTGGCTCTGTTTACGTTGAGCTTGTGACAGCCCTGTGTGAAGCCTTTGGAAGAGACAGGTCCTGACAATTGGATATTGATTCAACCCACGCTGTCTTTTGAAAAGTTGGTGGACACCTCTACTGTTGACTCACTCACTCAAGTCATATGGTTGGCCTGACAGTTGTTTCTGAGGTTTTCAACCAGAATTTGTTTCACTGGAAATAACTCTTTTTTCTTCTGTCAGCACTGATTGAAAAGCCATTTTTGCCACAAGGAATCAGAGCAAAACAATTAGTGCCAGGCAAAAGCATTTTGAACTGCTTTTCTCTTGTGCATCCACTAATCCACTATTCCTTTTATTTTCCCTTCTTTCTTTCTTTTTATACCCTTCTTACTTTTCTCTCTCTTATCTTTACCCTCCATCCTCGCTTCCCCCTCCAGTATCCTCATTTGGACTTGCTATGGACCAGCAGCACGATTTATTGAGCTCCTCGCCCAATAGCCACACGGCTCACTACAACTCTAGCGATACCATGGCAACCTCCCTTTCTGGAATGACCATCAACGATCATCACCATGGCAACCAGTTCCATAAGGAGAATGGAATTGCGGTGGGGCTTGTGAGACCAGGGGACTGTCCAATGAAAGGTGAGCTTGCTTCTGTGGGAAAACAGGTTGGTTGTGTCACAGCCGGTCAAAATAACTACATAATGATTAACCTAACTGATTATTCAGAACTATTAAACAAGCTCTGCAGTGTGAACAGGGTGTGTGTGTATCATGACAGCATTCACATGTAGTTGAGGGATAAGTTTAATTGTCCTTGAAAGACATACTTGTATGGAATATGATCTACACATTCAGCGGAAGTCCTACCACAACTTAAATTTTAAATTTCAACCATGCATTTATTAATTTAATTAAACCTTTTAAATAAATAAAAGTTGTAGTAACTTAATGAAATTGCAACGCCTTGATAGCTTTGAGAACTGGGCAGTAGATTTCTAGTTTTCATCATGCTTTGCATACAATTCGATGTGGAGAATAAATGTTTATTCTAAAATGTTATTTTATGTGTTTTTTAGTGAATGGAATGTGTCTGACGTGTTTGAATTTTTTTAATTTAAAAGTTTATGTTGACATTTTTGTGGTTACCGTTGTGCTGAAAATTAGTGCTTTCATTTAAATTGTGAAAGGCTACATATGAGCAACAATATTTAGCATGTCAATTTAATGAACAAATAAGATAAGTTAGCTTGTGATGTGTTAGCTGTTAATTGAAATTGAAATTGATAAGTGTAACAAGGAGTCAGAGGCGTTTGGATCCATTTGCAGCTTTTATTTTAATCAAAGGCAGAGTTAAACAGGCAGTAATCAATCAACAGCGTCATGAGCAGCAGGAATAATCCAGGAGAGTAAACCGAAACAAAGCGAGGGTCAGGGCAGGCGGCAGAGAATCACACGAGTAATAACAGTCCAAGGTAACACACAAGATATGTCAAGACAGGGGATAAACACTCAGAAATGTAGCCGGGGAAATACAAGACTTCGCGAATACTGAGAGTCTGGGAGCTGCTTAAATGGGGAAGCTAAGGAGAAACACCTGTGCCAGTAATCAGTCCCAGGTACGGGGTGTTATGGGAAATGTAGTCCATGAACGCTAGTACTCGGGAGAGGGTGCCCTCCGGAGGCCGTCAGAGAGAGCCACAGAGGCCTGATTTGTGACAATAAGATTAGTTGGTTCAAGGGCCTCCATTCAATTATACATACATTTGTTAGAACAACTTACAATTTACAACTTACAATAATTGCATCAGTTGTCATAACTCAAAAAGATTGAAAAATAATACAATAGTTTGCACCAATGTTGTTGAGCAAAAATATTTGTTTTTAGAGTGTAAAAAAGATCCACAGCCAATAAGGATGAAATATAATTACAATTATTCATAAATGATATCTATTTACATGTAGTGCACACTATTAAATATTACAAGGACAATGTTATGACAATGCAAAATCAGATATATCTTGGCTGCCAGGGGATGATATTATCAGACAATGTAGCCTAGTTCTGCATTATACACCAAAGAAAGATTTGCACGTATGCCTACTAAATAATGAGATTATATTAATGACTTCATTAGCAGACGAATTCACTGTGATACTGCATACACGCAGATGTGTAATCCCTCCGAGCATCAATTAGCATGACCGCAAATGTGTGTTTCCTCTCGTCATGAGCAAATAAACGTATCAAATAATCAAAGACATTGCAGGGCGTATGATCTTTATACATATTTTAGTGATGAATGTGGCCGCAGTGGCAGCAACGCTTTGATACAGCCTTGTGTTTTAATTCCTTTACATAAACCACAAGGCTGTGCTTGACTGGGCCCTCAATCCAAGCTTTGCAGCTGCGTCGTGCTGTAATCCAGGCATGTGGGTCACCCTCCACTCAGGACGTTCTCTGGTACTAATTCAACACCATCACACACCCTGCTTTCTTCTTCAAGTGTATGAGGTTTTGTGTTTTCTGCTTGCAGACATTAGGCTTTTGAAAAGCACACAGTAATGAAATTGGTTCTCAGTTGAGTTACAGAAAATATAAGGCGACAGTGTACAAAGGAAGGCATGAGAAAGGCACAATCAATGGACGTTGAGTGAGTTTGAAACCCTTTCATTCACTGTTCGACCAAAAGTATAAACATTTGTCTTATTCAGTAGCTGAAGCAAAGCTACTGATTAAACTTTGCTCATTTGACATTCTTTACTGTGATGGCTTCAGTCATTCTAGCACAGATTCTAGTTTCTCAAAGCAATAGCTCACCAAAAAATAAAAAATAGCTGAAAATGTACTCATCCTCAGGTCTTCCAAGATGTAGATAAGTTTGTTTTTTCATCTGAACAGATTTGGAGAAATTTAGCATTACATCACTTGCTCACCAATTCATCCTCTGCAGTGAATGGGTGCTGTCAGAATGAGAGTCCAAACAGCTGATAAAAATATCACAATAATCCACAAGTAATCCACACAACTCCAACAACAGGGGATGGACGTGTTTTTCACTGGAGGTGTTATGGATTATGGGAATTTTATCAGAAGCGAAAGTAAAAACATCTTGATGGATTTGTTTCTTACAAACATGCAGATTTTGACTTCACAAGATGTCAGTTGATGGAATGGAGTCATGTGGATTACTTGTAGTAGTTTCTATCAGCTATTTTGACTTTTATTCTCGGTATTAAACTGAGACTATTCCTTTAAAGTAATGATGTTGCATGATAGTCCTGGGAAAATCCTGCTTTTTTTGGAGAACACAGAGTTTTCTAAATGTAGTTGTTTGTTTAAAACCACAGCCAATCGTTGAACTCCAAGGATGTATATGGAAAGGAACAAACACAGTGGTGGTATTGACTGACAGTCTTTTGTAAAGGTGCCAGCTTGCCACAGAGTCTTCCGTTGTGTTGTATGTATTCACATGCCTTAAATGGGACCATAACACTCTCTTTTTTCTTCTGTGACCTTTTATGGGAAATGTAGTCCATGAACGCTAGTACTCGGGAGAGGGTGCCCTCCGGAGGCCGTCAGAGAGAGCCACAGAGGCCTGATTTGTGACAATAAGATTAGTTGGTTCAAGGGCCTCCATTCAATTATACATACATTTGTTAGAACAACTTACAATTTACAACTTACAATAATTGCATCAGTTGTCATAACTCAAAAAGATTGAAAAATAATACAATAGTTTGCACCAATGTTGTTGAGCAAAAATATTTGTTTTTAGAGTGTAAAAAAGATCCACAGCCAATAAGGATGAAATATAATTACAATTATTCATAAATGATATCTATTTACATGTAGTGCACACTATTAAATATTACAATATTACAAATCAGATATATCTTGGCTGCCAGGGGATGATATTATCAGACAATGTAGCCTAGTTCTGCATTATACACCAAAGAAAGATTTGCACGTATGCCTACTAAATAATGAGATTATATTAATGACTTCATTAGCAGACGAATTCACTGTGATACTGCATACACGCAGATGTGTAATCCCTCCGAGCATCAATTAGCATGACCGCAAATGTGTGTTTCCTCTCGTCATGAGCAAATAAACGTATCAAATAATCAAAGACATTGCAGGGCGTATGATCTTTATACATATTTTAGTGATGAATGTGGCCGCAGTGGCAGCAACGCTTTGATACAGCCTTGTGTTTTAATTCCTTTACATAAACCACAAGGCTGTGCTTGACTGGGCCCTCAATCCAAGCTTTGCAGCTGCGTCGTGCTGTAATCCAGGCATGTGGGTCACCCTCCACTCAGGACGTTCTCTGGTACTAATTCAACACCATCACACACCCTGCTTTCTTCTTCAAGTGTATGAGGTTTTGTGTTTTCTGCTTGCAGACATTAGGCTTTTGAAAAGCACACAGTAATGAAATTGGTTCTCAGTTGAGTTACAGAAAATATAAGGCGACAGTGTACAAAGGAAGGCATGAGAAAGGCACAATCAATGGACGTTGAGTGAGTTTGAAACCCTTTCATTCACTGTTCGACCAAAAGTATAAACATTTGTCTTATTCAGTAGCTGAAGCAAAGCTACTGATTAAACTTTGCTCATTTGACATTCTTTACTGTGATGGCTTCAGTCATTCTAGCACAGATTCTAGTTTCTCAAAGCAATAGCTCACCAAAAAATAAAAAATAGCTGAAAATGTACTCATCCTCAGGTCTTCCAAGATGTAGATAAGTTTGTTTTTTCATCTGAACAGATTTGGAGAAATTTAGCATTACATCACTTGCTCACCAATTCATCCTCTGCAGTGAATGGGTGCTGTCAGAATGAGAGTCCAAACAGCTGATAAAAATATCACAATAATCCACAAGTAATCCACACAACTCCAACAACAGGGGATGGACGTGTTTTTCACTGGAGGTGTTATGGATTATGGGAATTTTATCAGAAGCGAAAGTAAAAACATCTTGATGGATTTGTTTCTTACAAACATGCAGATTTTGACTTCACAAGATGTCAGTTGATGGAATGGAGTCATGTGGATTACTTGTAGTAGTTTCTATCAGCTATTTTGACTTTTATTCTCGGTATTAAACTGAGACTATTCCTTTAAAGTAATGATGTTGCATGATAGTCCTGGGAAAATCCTGCTTTTTTTGGAGAACACAGAGTTTTCTAAATGTAGTTGTTTGTTTAAAACCACAGCCAATCGTTGAACTCCAAGGATGTATATGGAAAGGAACAAACACAGTGGTGGTATTGACTGACAGTCTTTTGTAAAGGTGCCAGCTTGCCACAGAGTCTTCCGTTGTGTTGTATGTATTCACATGCCTTAAATGGGACCATAACACTCTCTTTTTTCTTCTGTGACCCCCTGCATTCTTTAGTGCGTGGCTTATATTTCCCTAGTTTACAGCCTTCACTAGTGCACACTTTCTCCCCTTTTGCTCTTCCTGTAATTCCACACACAAGGAGGAAACACTGCTCAGAGCATCTGCCACCAATAAATGGCAGATACTGCAATGGAACAGCAGAGAGTGAGTATGTTATAGATAGTAAAGCTAGTATGTTAGTGGCTCTAGAAACAGTATTAAACATTCGCTGCTTTCACACAAGCAAAAGCTTAACATAAGATATCATTCACACATCTGCACCAAAATACAGATAAATGTAAACGTAATGTAAATCATCAGAAATTGTTTTTAAATGCTGACCCATTTAGCCTGCCTGAATGAGGAGAAATACTTCAATTTCACTATTTGACAGTATTTCTTTACTTCCAAATTGCTGCGGCTAATCAACACATTACGACACAACACTCATGTACAAGATGCTGGAAAACCAGGGAAATGTGGTGCAGTGGTCAAAGATGTCCATCTAGTGCTTGTTTACATAGAAAAACAATTCAAAAGCAGCGCAGTGGAACAAAAAAATAAATAAATGTGTGAACCGTAAACAGTGCAGAGTAATGTCATAATTACTGAGAGAACGGTAATTTTACTAGGAAACTTTTCATTCAGGAATTTCTAGAACTAATTTCCCGGAATTTTTCAAAAGGTCCTGTTTATACATGTGTCAGGGAAACACACACTGGACAGACCGGTAAGTTTTCAAACAATCCAGAATCAAGCATATGGCAGCAGAGCAGGTGAAATTTGTGAGAGGAATGGTGAGTTGCCACACACACACACACACACACATTGAGAGATACTGAACACTTTCCTGTTGTCTTGTAGGAGGATCAGGTTTATGAATTTTTTCGGGTCTAGGATCTGCACAGGTTGTTTGGAAGAATCATCAGAGGAGTAAATGCAAGACAGTGCATCAGCCTTGCCATTCTTGGAACCAGGACGGTATGCAGTCTTGAAATCAAGTCTGGTGAGGAATAAGGCCCAACGAGCTTGACGAGGGTTAAGTCGTTTGGAATCACTGAGGTATTGGAGATTCTTATGGTGAGTCCACACTGTGAATTGATGGCAAGTTCCTCAAGCCAGTGCCTCCATTCTTCTAGGGCCAACTTAATGGCTAGCAGTTCTTGGTTACCAATGTCGTAGTTCCTTTCTGCTGGGTTGAATTTTTGGGAAAATAAAGCGCATGGATGGAGACTTGGAAGATTCCGTTGCTGCTGAAAAAGCACTGCTTCTACTCCAGTGGTTGAAGCATACACTTCCACGATAAAGGGTTTGTTTGGATCAGGATGTGTGAGGAGTGGTGTATTACAAAAGACTTGCTTCAGGATGTTGAATGCGGTCTCTGCTTCTTGGGGCCAGGATAGAGACTTGGGCTTACCATGGAGTAGGGACGTGAGAGGGTGGGTAATGGAACTGTAGTTTTTGGATGAAGCGACAATAGAAATTGGCGAATCTAAGGAATCTTTGGAGCTCTTTGACAGTCTTGGGAGTGGGGCAGTTATGAATAGCTTCCACCTTCCTCTCGTCCATTGAGATACCATTTTGGTTGACAATGTACCCTAGGAACTGGAACTCTGATTGTTGGAACTGGCACTTTTCAGCCTTGAGGAACAGGTTGAATTCCCGGAGTCTCTGAAGAACCTTTGCAACGTGCTGGCGATGTTCAGCCAGGCATCTCGTGCATAAAATTCTGAAACAAGGAGGGGCCGTTTACCAGCACATACAGCATAATGCAATATTCAGAGTGGCCAGTAGTGGTCAAGAAGGCCATCTTCCATTCATCCCCCTCGTGTATCCGGATGAGGTTGTACGCGCTGCGGAGGTCCAATTTGGTGAAGATCTTGGCTCCCCTTAGATGTTCCAATGCAGCTGGGATGAGAGGAAGGGGATACCTGAATTTGACGGTGATCTTGTTGAGGGCATGATAATCTATATAGGGCCGCAAGCCTCCATCCTTTTTTGCCACAAAGAAGAAGCAAGAAGTAGCAGTGGAAGTAGATGGTCTGATGTATCCTTGTTGTAAAGCCTCCTGAATGTATTCCATGGCTTCTAGTTCAGGTAGTGTTAAAAAGTATAGATTCTGCCGCTGGGTACTGGTTCACCTGGAAGGAGATCAACAGCACAGTCCCATGGCCGGTTTGGTGGTAACTGGGAAGCTCACTTGGGACAGAAGACATCTTTGAACTGGGAGTAACAGTCAGGGATGTCAACAGATTGTTGATTCATGGGTGTCTTGACGAAGGTGGAGTAGACGACTACTGATCTTGGTTCCTTCTTGAGTTGAATGGGTAATGTAGGAAAACATTGCTTGCTTCATTTCTTAATCTCACCAGTTTCCCAAGGGAGATCTCGATGATGTTGTATTAACCACGGTTACCCTAGGATGACACCAGAGGTAGAATTCTGAATTTCCTCTTGGTGGAGCATTCCAACATGTAAGTGAAGTGGACCCACTCTATACCGGATGTCTGCACAGTTCAGGGGTTTTCCAATGATGGATTGGGCTTTCTAATGTCTCTCACATGGTGTCTGAGAGGTGGAACCGGCGTCAGAGAGCACCAAAGATAAAGTTCCCAGCTGACCCAGAATTGACAAGTGCGGTGACTGGAAAGGAGATATTTGAGACAATAATGAACACTTTGGTAGTAAGACGCGATTAACTAACATAGGTAGCTTGGACAACACTCATCAATGGTCAATGAGGTCAGATGGGGCATTCGACAATAACATGCCCAGCAGCACCGCAGTAGAGGCATAATTTCTGGGTCAGCCGCCGCCTGTGTTCCATCAGGGATAACCGTGTAGATTTCACTTGCATGGGTTCTGGTTCCGGAGAGCTGGTGAGCTTTGGTTGACGAGAGGCGGAGGAGATTTTAGGCTGACCCTGGAAGATCTCTCCACAACCCTGCATACAATGGGCTACTCAAATAGAGAGTTGGATAAATTTCTTGAGGCATATGGAATCATTTAATGCATTGAGATGCAGCTGGAGTTAAGGCTACAATCCCTGTCGGTAAGTGGTGATAAGAGAACTCTCCTTCCAGCCGCTTGCTGCTGCTAGGGAAACTTCAGGGCATAATCATTAATGGATATTTTTCCTTGCTTCAATTGATCACCAGTAAAAGTAGCTCCAGCTGGCTTACCAAAAACTTAGCAGAAGTGCCACAAAGCCGTTTAATGTCTGTGTTAAAGGGTCATTTTGCCGCCATATTGTTTCTGCCCTCTGCAGTACTCTCCATGTTTATAGGGTGGAATGCGGCTCCTTGTAGAATGCGGCTACATCTCGAGGGCCAGCGAACATTGTAGCAGAAATCCATTGCACTCCTCCGCCGAACCAGAATAGGGCACCAGGTTGGCCATGGGACTGGCGACAATGGTAGGTGGTGAAGAAGTGCTTGGTGCAGTGACTGGTGTGGCAGTGGTTGGGTGAGAAAAGGACTAGAGAAGCAAATCCACCAATTCCTGAAATGGATAGGGTTACTAAGTGCTAAGTGCCCTAAGTGCTCATGCTGCCGGTTCCCGTGTTCGGTCTGGTTTTCTGTCAGGGAAACACACACTGTACAGACCGGTAAGTTTTCAGACAATCCAGAAACACTTTATTAAATGACTTGGATCAAACATATGGCAGCAAAGAAGGTGAAAATACGTAGTGAGAGGAATGGTGAGTTGCCACACACACACTAATAGATAGTCACTGGGAGATATTGAACACTTTCCTGTTGTCTTGTAGGAGGATCACGGGAGACTGAAAGGAGAAGAGGATTGGAGGCTAGATACAAGGACAAGGATTGGATCATGGAGGTAAGTAATCTTCAGGTAAGTAACAATCCGAACAGATGCCGTCTTAGCCATAGATGAGACCAGACAAAGTGTGTGTGTGTGGCAAGTCCTTTTGTATGGTGCTGGAGTGATCGGTGACAGCTGGTGATAATTAGTAATCGGGAGACTGAGAGCGCTGATACTGGGTAAGGGTGGAGCCTGGTGATTCCGTGACAACATGATCTCTAAGTTGTAATTTACTGGTAATTATCCAGAAAGGGCTGTATGTGTGAAAGCCCCTGTAGTGTACAGCTGCAAATGAACTATAATGTAAAACATTTTGAATGATGTTTTTAAAATTGTTTTGACATATTTTGCTTGCTTTTGTAGAATACTTAGTATTGCACATTTATTTATTTATTTTAAATAATTTGAATAATAGGAAATTGTCATCAGGATGTCATGGATGTTCAAAACAATGTTTTCACCAGTGTCGTCCCATTTTGCTGCAATCAAATCATAGTATGGCCCAATGCTGGCCTGTGATGATGACCTTTGTTTTGGCCCGCCATGACATTGAATCATATCTTTGTTTCTAAATAATTATTTTATTTTTTCATTTATTAGATGACTATCGATTAAATTTGATTCGATTCGGTTCAATTTGTCATTTTATTATGATATAGTTGGATATAATGCATAATTTACTTTCGGTTCACAGCCCTCAATTAAATTTTGTCCCTCATAGTAAAAAGTTTCCGCACCACTGATTTATTCTGTTTGAATGCCAAAGTTTTTGAAAACCTAAATGGACTAAATTTCTTTTAGATATTTTGGACAATGTTTCTTGTTACTTCAATAAACAGTTACTTTCCAGCACTGCAAGTTATTGCTGATATGGGTTGCCAGCACATTCAGCTGGCATCAGTTTCTCGCCTTATATTTTATTTGACGGTAAAATTAGCAGTGTATTTTTACATTTAAATGCATCCTTACAACAACTGAATTAATTCGTTTTTTCCCTACCAAGTTCAGGGATCCAGTTACAGAGAAATATTGATGAGATTGCATAGATGTCACAGTACAGTGTGACTGATTGCTTCAGCTGTTTGACATCAATTTATTGCCGCTGAAAAACATAATACTTTGCAAAAAAATAAACTAAAAATTAAATAAATAAATATTGTTATATTATTGTTTTACAAACTAAAACAAAAATGTCTTATCTGTATAAAGTGATCATTTTTGTCAGTTAAGATGAATACAATGTCAAATAGAACCTTAACAGACTTTAAACATGTTTCTATGAATACTGATTGTCCCAAACAACAGTTGACTCTACATAAGTTGTGCCTTATGTGTTTTTTAACCAACATTCTCTCTCACAGAAGAGTTTTCAGAAGAAAGGGTGGATGTTGAGCTCAGTAGTGCTGAAGGCACCTCCTCTGCTGAGGAGAAGCAGTGTGGTATGCATTGCTGCACTTATAATAAAGATGCTTTGAAATGCAGTTTGTCTTCGCTTTCGCTTACAAATTGCCCTTTTTTTAAATAAAAAGTTAATCAATTTTTTATTTTTTTTTTAAATAGCAAGTAATTATTTTTATTCATGCAGTGCAATGCCTATTACTAACTTTGCCTTGTTAAATATACAGAGTTTCAAGACTGTTAGCTTTGTTTCCGGTTGTTTGGATATGTGTTTTCCCCCCCGTTTTAATCAATCTTTTGTTATAGTGTTCATGTGAGTTAAACATCCAGTTATTTGCTTTCAGCAGAGCACTTTTGAAGTCAGCTAAAGTCTCACTGCAGTTGAGTTGTGAAGCTTTTAGACTTTAACAGCAGCTTCACTTGCACAAGTAAACCAAGACTTCCTTTAGGAGCTTGGTGTGTGAACTGTTCAAATGATTGTTTTATAGAAAGCCCCCAAGATTCAAGACAGGAAGAGAAAGAAGATCAGTCCCAGCCTGCCGTGGAAGTGGCGAGCGGTACGGACCTTCTGCTCCATCAACCGCTGCCTCTTTTGACTGACATGCCTTGCTTGACTGCCCTTTTGTGCCTTTATTGATGTGGATGCCTTTGTGCCTTACATCCTAATGTTTCTAATTTTCTATAGCATTTTTTTTACTGATTTGTTGTCTATTTTAAGCCTGCAGGATGCATTTGCTTCTGTTTGAAGTGGGCCTACTGGTAACAAGAATGCCATCTTGGATGCAGTTGTTTCAAATTGCCATTTCTTGCTTTGAAATCCTTTTTATGTTGCGCTTACATTGGGGTGATTTTTAAAGTGTAAGGTAATATGTATGTCTGCAAGCACACTGTTTAATTTTGACATCACTGCTGAGGCATGCTGACAGGTTTCAGGCTTTTAAATCAAAATAAACTCAAGGGAGACTCCAGCGCCATTCTCAGATTAGTTCCCATGTGATTAGTCACAGAGACCTCAGAGAGCTCAGCTGCCTTTGCCAGGATAGGTGTGATGTTATGCCAAGTCTGGAATTAATGCTTTGTGCCAAATAGGATCTCAGCCAAAGCTTTTCTCTCATAGGTCACAGTGCTTTAATTGCAAGTATTTGTTTCTTTTGTGATTTCGAAATGAAGTGTAGTATATTGATGGTCTGATTTCACTCTAGGTTATAGTGTTTATAGTGCATCTCTGTAGCTGAAATTGCCAGAAAATATGCTATGTGGTTCTCTAATGTTGTCTTTTATGTTTCTCTCTCTGTTTGCTACATATCCTGATCATTAATAAGCTGGAGGAACGGCACCCGCAGGTAAAACACTATTTTACTCTTATACAACTACCACATTAGTGTCATGCTTTGTAGAATAGCCATTATGCTACATGAATTATGATCTCGTTGATGTTTTTTCCTTTTTTTATTAAAATATATTTTTTAAATTTAGCAGTTTGTTTTCTCTGTTTTCTCTGTTCTGGTAGTACTCCACCTCACTCATCTGTATTTTGTACTGGTTATTTGGTTTTGTGAATTCACAGAGATATGTCCATTTTGTTTAATAATCAGTAGAAACTAGGTGCTTTTAAAGAGCAGACTCCAATAATTACTTTTGTAATAACGTCAAATGAAAAGTGTTACTTTTTTAGGGCCATACAAATTTTACATTTACATTTTTTTGACATGCTTTAAAGAAGTGCATTTATTTTGATTTCTTGACTCACATGTAAAATATTTAATAACAATTCTAACTGTTTTGTAATTTGATATTACAGTTAAAGTTAGTATATTTTAAATTAACTTTTATAATAAAATGTTGCAATTTAAAAAAAAAAGTTGCAATTTTATACAATCACAAATACATGACATAAACATATTTTAGTTAGCATAACTGCTTGTCAGTACATTCAGCGGTGTGCTTTAATCCTAGTTCAAAGACAATTAAGTAATTAATAACATATATTTAATTAAGTGGGTCAAAAAGCACTCTTGCACTTAATAATCCATTTTTATTTCATTGTAAATAACATAAAATAAACATTACATTAAGTTCACACTTAAGCATATTCTTTTAACGTATAGCATTATCACATATCATTATCCATAATAAATACTAAATAAACAGTATACTTTTTCACAAGGTTAGTGGCACAAAAAAAAAAATCATTTTTTATGTTTAAGTTGTAAAAAAAAAACACTTATTGCAAACAATCCTGCTCTTTAATTGCACCTATCAGCTCATATTTCTGTATTCAGTGTGCAGTCCGGTTTCATCACAGCTGTTTGTTTTGGATGTTAGCAAAGGCCAGCAAACCAGTTTGTTATGTTTGCTCGTCGTCTTTCCTCTACGGTTGTCACCACAAGTATTTTTGTTCCCTCCTTATCATGTGACAGTTTCCTTGGGAAAAGTGATATAGATGTTGTCATTGCTTTCTATAAATCGTCTGACCACTGTCTGTCCATGGTGAATGGGACGTGCATTAGTGAAAGGCAAAAGCAGCTTTGTTTCCAGCTTTAGCATCAGGGTTTTCACCAGATGGTTATGATCAACACTCGGACTGGAGCTGTGTAGACCACCAGAAAATACTAGAGCAGGACGAAGACCTCCTCAGAAGCAGCTGGTCTGGACGACCGGTCCATTCCCATCATCGACGGACATCCGTCAGTCCAGACCGCACCAGGAGCCTGTCTTTGGAGAATGAGCCACCTGTGACTTTCCTGGTCTGCAGCGCCACCCTGGAAGACCTGACGTCCGTCGGGGAGATGATTGTAGAAGCCAGGGCTCCTTACAGCGAGACCCTTCAGGAAGAGGAAGAACTGTCTTTTTACGGCAATGAGAGCCATGTTGAAGAAGGAAAGCTTCCGGCGTGGGCCAGCAGGGCTCAGACAACTCTCGCTGAATATGCACCTTCTGAAACCAAAGAACATAGTTTTACAAAAACTCTACCTCATGAACACATGGAAGCCATGGGCAAAGTGCAGGAGAAAGTTTGATGCTACGTTATCTGGGGGTAATCACAACGTTATTGTTACCGCCAAAGATGCAGAGACCAAAAAGACAGAAGCCACTGCTTCCTCTACAAGCGCAATTGGCTCTCCAAAAGGTGTCCACGTCTCAAGAAAATCCCTGGTGCCGGTGGCTCAGTTCAAAGGTCTGTGCAGTGAAGCTCACTGAATCCCAGTGCAGTGTCTCTTCCTTGGTTTGTCTCCACCTATGTTTTACAGAGCCGCTTTGCTCCAATTTCTGTCTATAACGAACATCCTACAAAATGAACAGCGTGCTGAGGAGAACGATCTGTTGTTCTGCAGTTGTTTGCTACATGTCGTTCTTTTTAGGCACTCAATCTCACTCTGTCATTCTTTTGTTCCCTCTGGTGGTCTTGAAGCCTGTTTTGCGCCGATTGATAAAATCCATGTTTGCTGGCCGTGTTTCAATGAGTTCAGTTTGGCATGTCTGTGTGCATGAATGTGCTACTTGCATGCGTTCACAACACCATCTGGTGCAGCACTGCTTTAACAGATCCCCTCACTTTCATTTACAGCTTACTTTCTCATATGTTTCTTAAAAACATTAGAATTAATATCCAGTTAATATTCACAAGTTAAGAAAAAGAGAAAAAGCATTAGGAATAAATGTAACAAACTGTAGTCAATTTAGCAAAGGTATTTCCACACTGTTAACATAGCTGGAACCTAGTCAGCGGCCTACACTCTTAAAAAATAAAGTTTCCAATGGGATTGTTTCACAGCGATGCAATAGAAGAAACATTTTGGTTCTCCAAAGAAACTTTGTTAACAGTTCTTAAAAGAACCACTTTCTCATTTTGAAGAACATTTTAAAATCTAAAGATTCCATTATAAAGAACCTTTTGTAGAATGGAAAGGTTCCATATATGTTAAAGGTTCTTCATGGAACCATCATGGCCAATAAAGAACCTTTATTTCTAAGAGTGTATGGAGGAAGAACTTATGTAGACAGCATTGCTGTAGACCTCTTATTCCTTCATGGAAAAGGCAGTATCAGAATGCATTACGATGAACTTTTAAATCCAATATGGCAGGCCAGGTGAGCGAAATCAAGCGTAGCGTTAGCTCTGGCAGGTCACGTTAGTCAAGCTCGCATCAGCTGACTCTCAGCTGAACCCCATCAACCTATAGGAATACGACACCTATCTAAGCATTCATATATAAGGTCCCGCAGTAGTATCAGCAGTTTTCGCATTGCTCAATAGCTAATTACCCTCCTCCATCCCCAACTCCTCCTCTGTCAGTCAGGATTCAGCCTTCTGATTCTCCTTTGAACATAACATTATTGAACTTTAACAATATCTGCAATACATTTATGTTGGTTCTGTTCTGTTTACCCCGGGGGGGTTATCGCTGCTCTCCCCGCTCTCATCCATGCTAGGCTGCATGGATGCGCAGGGAGTTCTTGCCCAGAACGGAACCATACCACCAATCCAAATTGTATGCTAATTGTCAATCATCTTTGACGATAGTGGTCCTGACAGAAATGTTGATTATAAACTAAAACCATTTAATTCAATACTTTAAAGAATTTATAAAAACGGTTTTACATCATTTGAAACAAACTGTTTTATCCAGTAATTGTATGTGCTATGTATTTGTTTCGCCTTGTTAGCAACATGTTAACATCAAACCGCGTTGAATTTGATTGTAAGCTGAGTCTCTAGTGTTACAGATTAGTCACTTGTGAGGTTTAGTAATGATTTAGTAATGGTTAGGCAGCTCACTAGGCTTAGAAACACATTTATTCGCATCCTATTTCTGATATACTGATTGTATTCATATTGGTGCATGTTTTGGTTCTTCACAGCTCAGTCCAAGACCAATGGTGATGCAGAGAAGAGGGTGAGTGCTAATAGCTATTTTGCATCATCTTTCTGTTCTCTTCCACTTTCACTGTAGAATTGTTTTGCCTTTTATTTTGCTTTCTGTCGCTATTTGTACTCCATGGAGTTTTCATCCACTATGGTTTTGCTCTTTATGTAAAGACCCCTAAAAACAGTAAAGTCAGACCCTCCTCCCATAAAATACCTTCCTCTATCCCGAAAAAGTCCTTGGCCTCCTCTAGTAGATCTCCCTCAGTACCTGCCACCAGTTCTGGACCCAAAGAATCCAGGCCAAGAGTGAGTACAGCTGCTGGTGTCGGACCCCGTGTCCTACTGCTGCTGTGGAGAATGGTTTAACTTTGCGCCTGTTTTACTGCCAGTTTGCACACTGTCTGGTGTGATTAACAGCATCTTTTTCTCTCCTCCTACTAACTGGCCAACATCTCATTCACACAAAATTCTGTCTTTGATGATAGTTTTGACAAGTTAAAATAGTCAGCATGATTTTAGAATAATTGTATTGCATAACTTGGTTGTGCTTCCAGTGGATGGGTTAATAATTACTGAATGTGCTTTCGATAAACTGTATGTTTGAACAGGCAAACATGTCATTAGGCCTATAATAAAATGTTCTTATTTGTTTATGAATGCTTCTTCAAATATGAGTGCTTTTGTCCAACAATGTCCAACAATGGGCATACATGTATCGCTAGAGAATTGTCATTTTGATATGCTAACAAATGTCACATCCAAACACATCTTTATAGTGGAAATGACATACTGTGCTGGAAATTACATTCTTTGTCATAAAAATGGCAAAATTCTTTGTCTTGTTAAAGCTAATTTCACATAGCATTTGTGTCTTTAAATAATATTTTTACAGCTTTTGCATAATTTGAGAAAATTACAGCTTGGTTGGAAATGACTCACAAATATTTTGTCGCAAGTGATATTTATCTCTTTTCTACTTTAACTTATTTCAAGCTCTTGTCAGTTTTGTTCTTGTGAAACTGAATTTACACTAACTGAAAATTGTGGGTTATGGTGGAAATTATGGCAAAACTGAGGGGAGAATGTGCTTAGTGGATATATATAGACATTTGCAGTTGTTTGGTTATCTATAATTCCATAGAATAAAATTATTAATGTATTTCTATTTCTTTCTCTCTATATATTCCTGTATATCTCTAGGCTAGCGTTAGACCTCATGCTGCCGGTTCAAAGATTCCTGCCATGACTGCAGTTGCCAAAAATGGAAAAGGTAAGGGAGTTTCTTTCACAAAGGGGTTTTTAGGAATGAATCTTGTATACATTTTTGAAGAATGGAACATTTGATTATGAGATTATTGCCATCTTCATAACTCTATATTGTTTCCCAGACTCTCCTAAGACCCCGGAGACCAGTGGGCACAGCAGCCCCGGCACTCCCAAATCCCCTGCCAGCAAGGCTGCGGGTGGCAAGCCTCCAAGCACAGGAAATGAAATCAAGAAGGTCGCAGTGATTCGCTCGACCCCTAAATCTCCAAAGAACCGTTCACCCACATCACTGTCGGCCGCTGCCCCCCTCCCTGATCTGAAGAGCATACGCTCCAAAGTCGGCTCCACTGACAACTTGAAGCACCAGCCCGGAGGCGGCCGGGTAATTCATCTTGAGTTGATTCACTTTAATATTCTGTTTGCAGTTAGGTTTGAGATCCAATTAAAATCTAATTTTTATGTTGAATTAGGTGGAACAGTTTCATATATAACATTTCTTTAAAAAAACTAAACTAAACACCTAAAAGGCAGCAACTGTATAATCAAATTGGCTGTACAAGTCATTTCGGCTAAAATTATATTAAACTGACTCTGAGTTGAATCTTGTAAAACGTTGAAATTTGAAATTTAAAATTCAAATTTTTTTTTTAGTTAAAAACATATGTTACCATGACTTATTGATCATATCATGTGGTCATTGTGGTCAAATGCTAATGAAAACCTGTTTATTACTCAAATAACTCTCTCAAGAATAGTTTATAAGTCACAGTAGTTTACAACTCTCCCTGTCTTCTTCCTTTCACAGGTACAAATTCTTGATCAGAAGGTGGATTTCAGTAATGTTCCGTCTAAGTGTGGCTCCAAAGCCAACCTCAGGCATGTACCAGGAGGTGGAAATGTGAGTAACTCTGGAGTGAATCCAACTAGGGCTGCACAATTAATCGTATTTCTAATCGCAATTCCAATTATGGATGCCACAATTACGTAATCGTTCAAAGTCCACTTATGTTATTCTGCACGCTTAAGATGCGTTTTTTCTTTCTACATGTTATCTTAAGGGTTTTTCCATTGTTTTAGTATAACATTAATATACCATTCATATTTTTACTTTTTTATAATTTAAAGAAGAAACCAATCCGATGTATAGTTGACATTTGAGGCTTAATACTATAGAAAAGCACTAAAGGTTTTTCAGTTAGAGTGTTCTCAGCTTGTTTATTTTCATATAAAAATACGGCATGCAGTTGCATCAAACAATGGTATAAACATCATTATGATAATCGTAAATTAATAATCGGAATTACAATTTCAAGAGAATAATCGACAATTATGATTTTTGTCATAATCGTGCAGCCCTAAATCCAACCCATACATTTTATTACTTATTACTTATTTTATTACATTTTATACTGTATTTGTCATTGGCTATCCCAACATTATCAGTAAACTGCCACAGTTTGCCAAATGTTAGCTAAGAATTATACTGTACAATGAGAATTGACTAATATATTATCTCTAGGTATTGTAATTGTTACATTTCCCAATCCAGTTTTGCAAACAACCTAAAACGTTTGCCGTTCCAAAGTCTATTTTTGGAAAGCACTTAACAATATGTGACCCTGGAGCACAAAAGCAGTCTTGAGTCGCTGGGGTATATTTGTAGCAATAGCCAAAAATACATTGCATGGGTCAAAATTATAGATTTTTCTTTTATGCTAAAAATCATTAGGACGTTAAGTAAAGATCATGTTTCATAAAGCTGTTCAGTAAATTTCCTACTGTAAATATATTAAAACTTAATTTTTGATATGTAATGTGCATTGCTAAGAACTTCATGTGGACAACTTTAAAGGTGGTTTTCTCAATATTTAGATTTTTTTTGCACCCTCAGATTCCAGATATTCAAATGTTGTCCTATCATAACAAACCATACATCAATTGAAAGCTTATTTATTCAGCTTTGAGATGATGTATAAATCTCAATAAAAAAAATTTACCCTTATGACTGGTTTTGTGGTCCAGGGTCACATATGTCTTTATGCTTCATGAGTATCGGGGAACTTTTACCAATTTGCAGTTTTTGTTCATGAAAACTTCCAAATGTTTACTTTAAACAGCAGCAAATTTTTGATTTATGCTTCATGAGTATCGGGGAACTTTTACCAATTTGTTTTTGTTCATGAAAACTTCCAAATGTTTACTTTAAACAGCAGCAAATTTTTGATCAGAAGATGGACTTTAGTAATGTCCAACTAATGTCCAATGTGAAGTGTGGCTTCAAACACACACCCGGAGGTGGCAATGTAAGTTACTATTGGATAAAACAGTATGGAGACCCAGTTCACTCCTAAATTTGCCATTATTCTTTCATTCCTTACTTCTGCTAGATGGGAGTCTAATCAAACTCCCAGCCATACTGTACTGAATTGAGATGTTCCTTATGAAGTTGTAAATACTGTATACTTCAGATGTTATTAGTAAAAATGAGAAGGTTTCTGATTTGGCTTCAACCAAAAAGGTAATTCTTCTTTTCCTTGACCTCTGCACTCTTTCAAGTAAAAATTCTCGATCAGAAGGTGGACTTCAGTAATGTCCAGTCAAAGTGTGGCTCCAAAGACAATTTGAAACATGTACTGGGAGGTGGCAATGTGAGTAACTATGGGATGAACTCAACACCCTCTGTCTCGGTTCTTCCTGAAGTTATGACCATTTGTGGAAACCTTGTATAAAAGTGAAAGCTCTCATTCAATGTAGTAGTTTTGTCTGTTACACAGTCACCGGCTACACTTTTGGTTTGACAATGAACTGTAAAAGAGGGTTTTTACAATTGTTGAGTCAATTGTTGAACAAGTGAGTGGGAGAAAAAAAAGCTATTTTAGTGAATTCATGTTTGCGCTGTACCATTCACATACTCACGGCTCTTTCTCACTGGCAGTTCTTTCTGTCTCTGAGATAATTGGAAAGATAACTCCTGCGCTTCCCAACTTGATTTTCCAGGTAAAAAATTGTAGTGCTCTGGTCAGCCGAGTGCTTCTTTGTGGTGAGCAGTTGGCTAGAGCTGAGAGCTGACCTCACACTGAAGACACTGAGGCCAGTATTAAGCCTCAACAGCTGTGGCAATGAGGTCATTGCTTCTATTTTTGGGAGCAGGGATGGTACACAATTGCACCGTTCTCATGTTGTATCCTCAATCTATAGTCTAAAGTGAAGAACAAACTTGTTTAGTAGACATGACCACCTAAAATAATTAAAGGGTTGTGGTTCATGATCATTTGAGGTTAGATTACAGCTCTATAAATACTTTTTTTTAATAAAAAAATTATATTCTCAGAGATGACTAAACCACCAAGAGGGTGTTTTGCATTCAAGGGACTGAAAAGTTAACTGAGCAGTTTCACTTTCAGATTTTAATTTGGGGACCAATTCTCAATACTAACTAACTATTAACTACTACCTTTGCCTCAGTAAACTCCTACTTTTCTGCTTATTAGGTAGTTGTTCAGTTTCGGTATGGGGTAGGATTAAGGGATGTAAATTATGGTCATGCACAGCACAGCATTAATATATGCTTTATCAGTAGTAATAAACAGCCAATATACTAGTAATATGCATGCTAATAAACAACTAATTAATACTGAGAATTGGTCCCTGTTTTTTTTGTCTTTCTTGTGCAAATCTGTGGAAGTGTGTTTGGATGGTTTTAAACAGAATTTATTTTAATCACCTGGAAGAATAATAAAACCCTTGTTTTTTGTTCTGAAAAGGTGCAAATCCTCCACAAAAAGATTGACCTGACCAATGTGCAGTCAAAGTGTGGATCGAAAGTCAACATTCGCCACAAACCAGGTAATCCTGCTCGTCCACCTTGGATTTTACAAACCTCGGACTTGATTTACTTAGCGTTTTGAATGCATGTATATAATGCGTTTAATTTGATTAAATCATGAGGAATTTCACCTGCTTTTTCAAGGTGGAGGAAACATTGAGATCAGGTCTGAGAAGCTTGAATTCAGGGCTCAGTCAAAGGTGGGATCTATGGACAACATTAAACACACACCTGGAGGAGGCAACAGGAGGGTAAGACGACATGTCCTCCGCTGATGGGATATGATACTCCCAATTATTCACCCTCCACCCTGAAGTCAAATAAGAACATTCAGAAATCCTTATCATTTTACAACCAGACGTCTGTGTAAATCTATCTTAGGTGCTCTTTGGGTTTGAATCATTTGGTTCTTAAGAAGATCGGGGTTTAAATAAATCCCCTGAACTAATTTAACTTCTTTAAAATCGCATCTCATTGTCCTTTCTTTGGATTCTGTAAACTTCAAAATGAATGTGTCGCTTAGAAATGTCTCTGCATATTAAACTGGGATTTAAAAAATATAAGCATTACATACTTCATCTTTAATTTTAATAATTGTTTATTTAGTTTTGTGTTACCATCATTTTCCTTTTTGTTGAACCCATATCATTTTGTTTCTGTTTTGGTTGACCATGGTGTTCATTTCACCACCCACTGGCCACCCTGGGGTACGTTTCTAGAGAGAGATGGGGAGAGGGGCAGATATGCCCCGAGATGAGGGCTTCCTCACCCCAGACCCCTCTGATACCCCCACCCTCTCATCTGCCAGTATGTCCCCAGAGCCCATCCTCCTCAGCAACCCCCAGATAAAGATTGAGGACTCCAGTAAGTATTCAAAGAGGGGGAGACATTCACATCAAATTAACTAGCACTGTATAAGTGTATGTAGATTTCTAGCTCAGTGCAGGAAGAAACAAATAATTTAGAGAAAACAGCATTTAAAGATGATGTATTATAATTGATATCTACAGACGCAAATAGATTATAATAAAATAAATGTGAATGTGTATTTTGGATGGTTTCTTTACACTAGTCTAAAAGATGACTAGCAAAATAGGCCACATTTTTTAATTCACCAGTGGATGAAAAAACAATGGTTTTGCCTGTAGTTTCTTGCCTTAAAAAAATTTATAAAATAAAATGATGATGATGATGATAATTTAATAAATACATATGCAAATAAGAAATTACTGAATTAATGAATCTGCAAATTGGTAGATGATTAAGTGACCAACCACAATAAAATATTTCATATAAATGAATAAAAAATAAATTGCATATTGCTTATAATTGAAAGTTTGCTGAAATGTCTTGTGAAATGCATCTATGGTGCCATCTTTTGGCACAGAGTGATATATATTTTGTGAATACAAAAAAAGCAACTGACAACAAAATTAAAAGAAATACTGATTTTTTTTTTGTTTAAATAGTATTCATATTTATATGGAAATGTATATCAAAAAATCTTTTATTATTTTCTTATTTTGTCTGCTGCTTTGTCCCTTTTAACACGTCTTACCCATTTTTTTTATTGTTTGATCATTTGATTGCTTTTTTATCCATTGATAATTTGAGCATATTATTATTCAGCATTTTGAGGGTACTCAACAAATATTCTGGCTCTTAAACCAAATATAGTCATCCAGGATAATTCAGTATCTGAAACTCAATTTCTCCTAGGAGTTTATGGAAATAGCACCATTACAGTCCAGATTTCTCCTTTAATCTCCATCCAAGAATCTCAGGTCTGCTCTGAGCCAACATAAACCACCGCTGGATGCTGGCCATTTCACCTCAGAGGTTTCACTTGCAGTCATTAGTTCATATATATATTTCCTTTTCCCAGATTGAGTCGCAAAAACTGATGTTCCGTGAGCAGGCCAAAGCGCGAACCGACCATGGCGCAGAAATCGTGTCTCTAGAGGAGTCACCACATGGCCTGAGCACCGTCTCGTCTTCTGGCAGCATCAACATGGCAGACCCGCCACAGCTTTCCACCCTCGCTGACCAGGTGTCTGCATCGCTGGCCCAGCAGGGCTTGTGATTGGACCATACCGCCCCCTCCCATCCACATACCTGATGGTATTCTAACCTCTCTCTGAAAGTCATTTTGTGGCCCAGAAAACAACGCCAAGTAACGTTTAGCAGTCACTGTTTGACTTCTTGTTATGTATGAATTTGCCTGTTCACTCGCCCTTCGCTTTAAGGCAGTGCCCACTTTGGGAATTTAACAATTGGAAATTTCCTCCAGCTGCCCTCCCTTGACTATATTTAGTAGCACAAAATTACTTTCATGTATTTGTATGGCTTTTATTGACCATTATATATTTCCTTACGCATACCATTTTCTTGGTTACCACTGGATTGAGGACAGTTCATACCGAACCCATTTTCACTTTCAGAGAGGATTGTTCTCATTTTGAAATCAGGTTAAATTTAGATTGAGATTATGAATAAGATGCTTAGCAGTGCTTAAAATGAAAATTAGAGCATGGCATACCATTTTCTTGGTTACCACTGGATTGAGGACAGTTCATACCGAACCCATTTTCACTTTCAGATTTGACTTTTCAAATCAGGTTAAATTTAGATTGAGATTATGAATAAGATGCTTAGCAGTGCTTAAAATGAAAATTAGAGCATGGTATCTTGACTTTGAGAAAGAAAGAAACTTAAAGCCCCACAGTTCACGTTTGAAATGATTTGCAAGGCTTATGTGAAGAAAGACAGGTGCATAACAGCTTTGTGCAGAAAGGTGAAAGCCGTTTAGTTCTTTTCAATCTCTCGAATGTGCTGTCGATCAGAGATTACACTTCACGTCTACAATGACCATGACATTCAGAGTGCTTCATAAGGAAACGTTCCCTACAGTATTATTCTGTGGATGAATATGGGATGTTTATGATATGAAAACACTTTTTTTTGTGTCTTAAAATGTAGATTTGAATTATGTCAGTGCTTTTTTTGTTTGCTTGTTCTTTAACTTGACAATTAACAGAGCACTGCAGCTGCATTTTTATTTTTTAACATAAACATAAAATAATCTTAAAATTGCAGCTACGCGTTTGAACCAAGATGGACGTCTGCTGTTTTGGACAGTTTGATTGGTGACACTACAATGAGGTTCAATTTGTTCGCTTTAGGCATCATGAAATAACAAATAATACTTTTACATCATTTATTAATCTCGATAAATGTTCTTTTCTACATATACTAATGCATTTTAACATTTATTTACGAACTAATAAATTGACCAGGATTAAAAATTGCTGTAAAAATGGCATTTTTGTTTTTTTTTGGTTTAAAATACATTGACTAATATTATTGTAAAGTGTTATTGTTTTATTAATGATAAGCTACATGTGAGAAATCTGGACATTATTTGAAATATCTTGTGGAAAAAAACAACCTATGCACCTGTAAACTTTCTCCATAATACTGCCAACAGTTCCTCTCATTCTCAACATCTAGCTCTAGTTGAGAAAGAATTTATGAGATGAATTGCAAAACTGTTCTTCTTCAGGCACACATTGTATTATAAATTTGCCTACTACATTTACAATATTGAGTATTGCATTCTTCACGAAAAGCGTCACTCGAGCACAAGCATGCTGTTAAACTTTGATCTGACCACATCATCCGCTTCCACTTTATAGCTGTAAAATGTTAAGTCAAGGTATTCTATTTTACTGAATGAATGATGTAATGACCTCAGCCAATCATATGGCTTAAATTCTTTCCCCAGCACTGCACTATCGCAGAATGTTTACTAAGCTTTGAACCACTTCACACTCTCTTTGCTCCTTGCATGCATTTCATGTAAGCAGCCCGAGATACTGCGTTGCCTCTTTCACGCTTACTTGCGTATATCCCGTAATCGCTGATGTGCTTATTAGGAATCTTTGTAGATAGTAGTGAAAAAGAGCACTACTCAGATGGCAACCCCTGTTTCTTTGTGTTGGAGATGGAGCCGTGTATCTACCATTAGATATTTAATGTATGTTTATTGTATGTTTATGACTGTATGTTTATATGAGGACTTGAAGAGATTAAAAAAAAATAAGCAGTGAAGTTCAGAAACCATGCCTGCAACATTTTAATCTGCATGCTGAGTTTTTACATGGATTAGCAACATGTTTCTGAACGTTTTCTGACTAGGGTGTTTTTGGGAAGGTTGGGAGAGCTTGGATATGGGATAAGCTGTTTGTTATGGTTGTAATGTTGTGTTGAGGGGGGAAGTGAGCATTTAGCAGACAAGAAGAGGGAAAGAAAGTCAGTCGGTCCTTTGGTTTAAACGTCTCTCTCTGTAGCACACCTGCAACATAGTTCTGGGTGCCATCCTGTTTTCATTGACTCCATACACCATTTTTGCAGTTGTAAATTTTAGCTTGGGAACTGTGGTTGTCAATATTGTTTGTGTTTTATTATTAACTGGTTTTCAATGATTCTTGTTGATGTACACGTGAATTTGGAAATAAAGGATATTAACCAATTGTCCTGAAACTTTTATTTTTATACTTCAGAAGAAAGAACTGACTTAAAGGGATAGTTCACCCAAAAATCTTCATTTACTCACCCTCAAGTTCCAAACCTGTTGGAGTTTCTTTCTTCTGCTGAATATAAAAGAAGATATTTTGAAGAATGCTGGCAACCAAACAGTTGCCGGTAGCCATCTATAGACTTCTAGAGAATGGAAAAAAATACTATGGAAGTCAATGGCTACCAGCAATTGTTTGGTTACCAACATTTAACAAAAAAGTATTTATTTGTGTGTGTGTGTGTGTGTGCAGCTAAAGAAAGAAACTCGTACAGGTTTGAAACAACTTGAGGGTAAGTAAATGATTTTTTAAATTTAAATTTAAATTTACATTTTTAAAGGAGAATTCAAAGGACTTGGGAGAACAATTTAATATGAAAATATTCCTTGATAAAGTCAACATGAAATCAAAACTCACCCAGTTTACTTTCTTAATGCATATTTTTGGTCTCACTGTGTTCATCAGGGCACATTATTCCAAAAAAAGTAGGCAAAAAACCCTGCATTGTTTTAGGCCAGGAGTCGCCCAGGCAGCTGCATTGGGGTGCTAAGGGTCTCTGTAAAATAAATAAATAAGCAAATTTATTTATTTATATATTTTTTTGTCCTGACTAAGATGCAGTAATGTATTTAATTTAATGTAATATAGTATAATGTATAATTTAGATGTAAAAAATGGTATGATCAGTAACTCTTTTTAAAATAAGTTATACAAAATTCAACTCATGTTTTTAAGTCAGTTTAATGTAATTTAACATTGAAATGACACATACAGTTATAAGTCGATTGTACTTCAAAATTTTATGCTTAAAAAATTTTTCCACAGTGACTTTTTTCCTCCTACAGTATGTATGGGTTTGTATACATCAAAAGCAGTTTCGATTTTTGAAAAGGGGTCATCATATTTAGGACTTGAAAACATAAGGTTACTTGTGTAACCCCGGTTCTCTGAAAACAGAGTGAGGTATCTCACTATGGAGAACGCCTCAGGCGTGATAGACTATGGAAGCACCAATCACACCAAGTCTGTCCGCAGGGCACACCAATCACAGCTCATGACCAGGAACCCCCACTCCCTTCATATATATACGGTTGTGATCCCTGAAATGGCATTCTAAGCATGCTCTTCCCCCGTGTTTTGCAAGAAGGGAAGCTTGGTGAGATACCTCACTTTGTTTTCAGAGAACCGGGGTTTCACAAGTAACCTTACATTTCTTTCAAACCATTGCTCAGTATATCACTATGGGAATGATATGGACAACTCCTGTAACGCATGCTTTCTGAAGCTGCTGAACAGACCCAGAGTAAATGAAAGATAACCACTCATTTCACTCACGAGCCGACTTTGAGAACTGCATGAGCCATAGAAGGCGCAGTGACATTCAGATCTGATAAATGTATGAGGGGAAGCCCAGCTAGCTGCTGCGCAAATATCTCCTACCGAAATCCCCCTGAACAGTGCCCACGACATACGCATACCTCATGTAGAATGAGCCCTTAAACCCACTGGGGAATAGAGACCCATAGCTGTATAAGCCAACTCAATCGCCGTCACCATCCAATGGGGAAGGCGCTGCGAGGAGATCGGCTTACCCTTACATTGACCAGCCCATGAAACAAATAACTGATCATTCTTTCTGAATGATCGTGTCCTATTTACATTACATTTAGTCATTTAGCAGAGTAAGGTATCTCATGACATTTCATCCCATTTACATAATAGCGTAACGCCCGTACCGGACACAACGTGTGCAAATCACACCCCTCCTCCGAAGCAAATGGAGAGGGGTAAAAAGAACTCAATTCCAAGGCAGTGCAGTTATAAACTGAATCACTGACAGTGAGGATGAAAGCCGTGTTAGGCAGCAGCTTAACCTTTCTGCCATCCAGACTAAAATTCAGACATGCCTGATGAACCAACAAAGCATGTAACTCACCAACTCACTTAGCTGAAACTAAAGCGAAGAGTAGGACCATTTTCAAAGATAAGAACTTAATATGAACACTCTTCATAGGTTCAAATGGGGCCCAAGTTAAAGCACTCAAAACCTTGGATAGGTCTCATGATGGGATGAGCTGCTTCGACACTGATCTCAGACACCTCACTCCCTTCATAAAACAGCATATAAGAGGATGTTGACCCACTGAAGCTCCTTTAAAGCCTACGTGGCAAGCTGAAATAGCAGCCAGAATAACCTTAATAGTGGTAAACACTCTACCATTGTCCATTAAGCTCTATCGCTCAGAGCACTGAAAAACAAAGAATATCGCTCACCGAGCACTGAAAAGGAATAACTCCTTTACGAGTGCACCAGTCCTCAAACACACGCCATTTGAGATCATATAATGAGCGCGTTGATGGAGTTCTAGCGCTGGATAGTAGGGGTGTAATGGTACGCGTATCGTGTACCAAACGGTTCACGCGCAAATTCCAAATGGAAGTGATCATCCCTATCCCCTTGGAGTGGGGACTGTGGAGTGAGCAGGGCACGTGCGTGCCATTTTGTAGTCGTTTGGAATGCACTTGGCAAAGGGAGCGATGTAATTTCCTCATTGTCTTCAGCTGGGATGTTCCCGTGACAACGCAGGCATAAAAAAATATACATTTTATCTTTAAATTATACATTAAAACAGCGACATCTGCTGATGGACACCGTGCTGCGTTGTCACGGGAACATCCCAGCTGAAGATAATGAGGAAATTACATCGCTCCCTTTGCCAAGTGCATTCCAAATGACTACATAATGGCATGCACGTGCCCTGCTCACTCCACAGTCCCCACTCCAAGGGGATACACGTACCGTTACACCCCTACTGGATAGTGTTTATAACTTCCTGGGGAAGCCAGAGCGCATTCAAATTTAGCCCCTCACGGGCCAGACCCAAAGACTGACTCGCTCCAGGTGGGGGTGAAATATCTGCCTGCACACTTGTGACAGCAGGTCCGGGCGCAATGGGAGTGGCCAGGGCTCTCCCTGAAGGAGCTAAATAATCACTGCCAGCCACAGCCTTCCCAGCCAACGAATGGCTATCAGGAAGATAATCCATTTTCTTTTACCCTGTCTAGGGTGGGAAATTAGACTCAGCGGTGGGAATGCGTAATGCAACACGTTTGGCCACGGGTGTGCCAGAGAATCCACACCCAAAGGCGCATTTTCGTCCTGCGACCAATCTGCCCTGAAAGACAGCCCCCCAGCCCATCAGGGATGCATCCGTTGTCACAATCTTCTTAAAGACACCCCCCCCCCCCCCACACCC